CCTTTAATATTATTAATAATTTAATTATTAATAATATAAGAATTATAATATTAATAATATAATAATATAAGAAAGAATTATAATTCTTACATTATTAATAATTTAATTATTAATTGAAGATCCAGAATCCTAAGATCCAGAATCCTAAGATCCTTGTTTATATTTTTATATCACATCCATATGTTGTGCTTGCGCTCATCTACACCAAACTTAAGCCTTTCGCCCGCACCCTGTCTCCTTCTTCGTCATTACCTGATACTTCCTTTGCGTTTGCGCCTGCCTCACGGTACTCCTTCTTCCATTAAGAAATAATTTCTATCTACCTTGGTCCCTCCTCCCTTCCCTCTTAAACCTCCTGCCGGCTCATTCTCGACCTCGCCGACCTTGCCTTTATCCCCGCGCATTTATTAAAGCCTCTTTGTGCGTCGACTTCGGTTGGGGATTTGCCGAGGCCGAATGACGCGCGAATAATTCGCGTTACCGTATATTCCGCGAGCGAAATCACGCTAAAAAGCCCAGCCGAAGATACGCGGACGAACCTTAGAATTAACCACCATCACTAACACTCGGTAGCCTCGTAATTATTGTTATTATTTCTTTCCGTCCCTTCCCCGTCTGGACGCAAGGATTGTAACATAGTTACCACGCCGTGATTACCTGTCTTAAGTAACGACTCATTATCCGGCCAGAGGTCGAATGCTGATCGGTACAGGGTGGACAGCCCTTGATTCTTGCCTAGAATTCTTCTTGGGCATCTCCGCAATCCTTCATTCTTTCATTTCTCAAGGCTACATCGATTAACGATGCGTCAGTTTGTTAAAAAAAGGCAAAGATTGTTTGACGTGGGACATTAAATTTCAATTAGATGGTTAAATATCATAAAGCTGGTAAATGGTCTTTCGAAAAATATAAGCGTTATATAAAGTGTTTCTCCCAAATGTTTGTTTTATTACAATAAAATTCTATAAAAATTTATCATTAGATTGATTTAACTCCTGATTTATTTACGTTTGCGATTATGAGTTTGTCGACGTAATGAATTATAATCCATTCCTCCTTTTCATTAAAAAGCATTAAGTATTGTAAACTATTTTAATGAGCATTGTAAAATAAACAAGGAGATGTTTACGAAATTGTAGCAAATTACATGTCGGTTGGCTCGATTCGCGTCATTTATACGTACGACGCGACTTAATTAATATTTGTTAATTAAATCGGAACAGAGACTGCGCGCTACGCGTTTGTCACGAACTTCGCTTTGCTCTCTCAATTCAATTTGTTGTAAATTACACACAAATACTTAACTATTCCACCTTTGTCTCGGCAGAATGGCTTGTTTCCACTAATATATATGTGTCTTTTATCATATTATATTATCATTAACAAGCTACGACAAATTATCAATGTATGGAATTAAGAATGTTTATGTACCTATCTTCAAAATATTGAAAATTTAATGAAAATTGTACAGAATGTCCTTACATATGTTTAGAATCTTCAGTACAATTTTTAAATCGATTCACTAAAGCGTTCACAAGTTATAAGGATTTTAATTTGCACCGAATTAACATGTGTTCTTATGGGAAACGTATAAGAGATGAAATAAAACTAAGAAGAGAAAGAAGTATCTCTGGTGGTGAGATGGAAGTTTCAAAATCGAATTTTAGACTTCTCAGAACGACATCGTGTCGTTCAAAGAAAATGTGTCTTCGAAAATATATGCCTTGATTTTCGCCATAATTTTGCAACAAGTCTTGTTAATAATAATACGTTCAACGAGATATCAACTATTTGAATTGACGATGAAATTTATTTTTGGAGCGTTATTCATTATATTTTGAATATAGTCGCAATTCATCGCAATTAAACAATTAAAAAAAAATTTAATTTAGATAAATGAATCGATAAATAATATTTATAATTATTGAATCGTATAATAAAATATCACAAATTTTGGTGCTAAATATATATTTATATAGCATACTTCATATTTTATATCACATTTTAGTTTTTATATCTAACAATAATCAATAAAAGAAATATGATAAAAAATCAAAACAATTGTGGAATATGAATCAATAAAAATTCATGATTGATGAAAATTTAAAGATATTTTGTACCTATTTTCAAAATATTGAGAATTTAATGAAAATTGTACAGAATGTCCTTAAATATGTTTAGAATCTTCAATACAATTTTTAAATCGATTCACTAAAGCGTTCACAAGTTATAACGATTTTAATTTGCATCGAATTAACATATGTTCTTATGAGAAACGTATAACCACGATTCAAATGACAAAAACACATGGAAATAATATTAAGAATTTGTTTAAAATATGCAAAAGTTTAGATACAGAGGAAATATTTCGTCAAATAATATTATACAAGTACTAACTGGTTAAAAAGATATTAAATATAATTCAATGAAGTTAACTATGTATCTGTCACAAGGCGAAATTCAAAAGATAATCATTTCGATTAACAAAATTCGGAATATTTTAGTAAAAACGCAATAAATATTAAAAAGTTCCACACAACTTCTTACTCAAAATACACCAAAAGTGGATATATTGAATATTGATTTTTAGCTACTTTTTGCTGGGATTGTACATACAAAATATCCTTAAATTAACATTATTAAAATAATAAATAATTTATAAAATCGTTCGTTTAACTCGACTCATTAAAACCATTTTTAATTTAATCTGATTCATCGAAATTTAATTAATTTAAATATTTATTGATTTTGAGCTACTTTTTGCTGGAATTATACATACAAAATATTCTTAATATCTCTACAATCCAGAATCGAAAAATTTCGGAGATGAATATAAAATGTCGAGAAATCTTTCACGAGCGTTTATGAAGGAGGAAGAATTTGAATAAAAAATTCATACCATTAAATCTGTGCAAAATATGTCGACTTAAAAAATAAACTTACTTATCTGACATATTTAAAAATTGATAGATTTCGAGAAAATACAATCTATATAATATCGTGACAACCGTTTTGAGGAATTTTCACGACGATAATAATAACTATAAAATCAGCAGTAAATGCCTTTCGTTCTCGAATAACTTTAAACACAACGAAACTAAACGTCACCGCGATCCACGTAGTGCTTCGTTCGGACGATTACTATTATTACTATTCCGAGAGAATGATCTTTTTATTAAACCCGCCAACGATTCTAGTCCCGGAATCTCTTTCCCCGTCTGTCGTCATCATTTCACTGTCGATTGAAAGCCCGACTTCGTCTCGGGCACGGATTTAATTTGCAGCCCTTTAACCACGCGACCACGAATGAGGCTCGCGGTGAAGTCTGAGAAAATGAATGCTGCACAAGTGCACCTGGCAGAGATGGGCTTGCGAACCGGTGTCCGTCCGTGGAAAAGATACGACGCGCGCAGAACTTTAACTTCACGTTAAAATAATAGCGTGCAAATTGCAGCTACGCTGTTACTTTCGGTGGACGGCAATTTTATACCTAGACGTCCGGCGACCACCAGCCGGCATTGAAGTTACAAAAACTCGCCCGCGACAGTAGACGCGGTAACCACCTGGGAAATTTGTCGGACGAATCCGCGCGACGACGTAAATATTCATGTTACTTTCGTAATACGGGAATAAAATAGCGCGGGTCGTTGCAAAATTTACTCCTCTCGAATGTGTTATTGCGCCGAATTATTATACTCGTTATTACTACTAAACCCGGTGACGTATCAGGGGAGTGATGGGACTGCGTATGAAATATTTTTTTTCGGGAAATATCCACTTTTTCCATGACAGTAGAAACGGAATACGCAATGAGTGGTTGTCGCCGAACTAATATCGATAATTCATATTCAATAAATATTTAAACGGGAGTAATATTTATTCCATGCTAACCGGGCTAGCAGTTGTTCATAATTTTGTCGTGAATATTTAATTCTTCATTCCGCTCGTGTCATCCTCGTTTCGTTATAATATGAGAGCACTCCGGCATTACGATAAATATATTATACAAGTCTGTTAACTGTATGTAATCTACATCAATGACTGTCTCTCTAATTTTGCGCAAATCCGACGATTACGATAAATTTCTGATTTATTTATAAACTGACGATCTTTTCTATATTCTCGATCGACAGTTAATTGAAGCATATCAATTGAAGCATTTTCAATAATTTATCAGACCACGTGTATTACATTTTTACAACAGTATATCAATTATTTTCAATTAAAAATTAAATGTTATTAATTAAAAATCATTGTAACTGTATAAATAAATTGTATCGAAATAAATTGGAAAATCAAGGAGATATACAATCGTGCAACAAACTTAACAAAATTTGAAATTGTATGATGAAAAAGTCGGAACTTTAATATTTTCTAGGATTTTTCAATAAATTCATAAATTATATTAATATCGCTAGTCAATTAATCAAAGAATCATTGGAAATAATGTAATCGACCAAAACTAGCCAGAATTTTTGTTTATTAATTACTTTTTTTTGTAATTAATAAACAATTTTTTGTAATTGATAAATAAAAATTCTGGCTAGTTTTGGTAGATTACATTATTTCCAATGATTTTTTTCAATAAACATAATTCTATTTATTTTTCGATGACGCAACTGCTTGTTATATATTATCGAAAATTGCAATTGTCTCGTAATTATATTAATATCGCTAGTCATTTAATCAAAGGATCATTGGAAATAATGTAATCGATCAAAACTAGCCAGAATTTTTGTTTATTAATTACTTTTTTTTGTAATTAATAAACAAAAATTCTGGCTAGTTTTGGTCGATCACATTATTTCCAATGATCCTTTTTCAATGAACTCAATTCTATTTTTTTTATGACGCAACTGCTTGTTATATATTATCGAAAATTACAGTTGTCTCGTAATTGTCCGTAAATTTCCATTTATCTAAAATAATTTGATCAATCAATATTTAATCAATCTATATAAAAGCCAATCAATCTATATAAAAAAACATTCTTGTTTCAGGTGGTGGTAGAGAGTTCGACGCTGGCATTGGAATATGGTGATCTCGAGATCGATCCTGGCTCCCCGGTGAATCCGGATCTGCTATTCGACTCACAGCTGATGCACCTCTACGTGTTGACGGAGAAGAAGGTCTCGAAGGTCAAGGTTCAAGAGTGTTCAGTCTACAAGACTTGCTGGGATTGCCTGGGCGCCAAGGATCCATATTGTGGATGGTGCTCGTTGGAGAACAAATGCAACCTGCGCAGCGATTGTCAGGATGCTGCCAAGGATCCGCTCTATTGGATCTCCTACAAGAGCGGTAGATGTACGACGATCACCACCGTCACCCCGGATCAGTTGCAACGCACCACCGCCAGGACCCTCGAGCTCGTCATCGAGAATCTGCCGACTCTATCCGGGCAGTTCCTGTGCGCGTTCTCTGCCCTCGATAAAACCCTGATCACGAATGCCTCGCGGAAGTCCTACGGCGTGAATTGCACCACACCGAGAACAGATCTGCTGCCGTCGATACCTCCGGGTCGACATCACTTCACCGCCAAGCTGTCCGTTAGAATGACAAACGGGCCCGATTTGGTGGCGACAAATTTCACCTTTTTCGACTGCAATACGTACAGCTCGTGTACGCAATGCGTGTCATCGAGTTTTCCATGCGATTGGTGCGTTGATGGCCATCGATGCACGCACGACACAGCGGAGAACTGTCGGAACGACATTCTCGTCACGGGAGTCAGCGTAAGCCTATTATAAAAAATTATACAAAGAAATGTATTGCTTTAATATCATATTTTAGCTATCCGAAATATTGCACAAAGAAGTGTTGTTCAATATATATATATATATATATATATATATATATATATATATATATATATATATTATATTGCTTAAAATCCGCTTTCTCTACAAAAATAATATCAGAAAATTGCGCTAATTAATGAGAATAAAAATTGCATATTATAAAATTTACTTTTTTATTATGTGGATAATTTTCTCATTATTTGGCACAATTTTCTATTATTATTTTTCTTAAAAAATAAATAAAAATATTAAAACAATATAATAATTTTTTTAAAATATACATTAAGATAATATTTTTTTAGAGAATATTTTTTTTTTAAACAGACACATGAATCTGATCTATTTTTTTACGTTTTTTGAAGGTGAAATTTCCTGATAATTATATCTTTTTTTTAATATACATAAGAATTATTAAACATACACATATATTTACTGTAATTAAAAGATTAATATTAAAACTTATATTTCTTTGAAATTGCAGTAATTGATATATATATCTATAATATATGTATTAATATATTGATAAGTATTTATTTATTTAATATAGCATATAATATAACATATCAAAGTATATTTATTTAATATATTAAAAGTATTTATATCATTTTTTTAATTGATGAAAAAGAATAATGATTATATTATACATATCCAATTTTATTTTAGGAAAGTAGTGTGAATTCAATTCTAAAAACCTTATTAAAATCGATATAGTCCATTTATATCCACATTTCACGAACTCACATTAATGTTTTAAAATTAAATTTACACCATTTTCAAGATAAACGATTCATATGTGTCGTAAATTTACAACATCTAGTTTTGAAACAAAATTACACAAGTCTGTTGTTGTATTACATATGCATCCATTAATTTCATTTTAACATCAACTCGATTCGTTTTGGAGTGAAAACGTTGCGTTCACTCTATGAATATTAATGTGCCATTATCAATTAGCTTATAATTTTTGATGAAAATTTGACACTGAGAACGTCTCTTTATGATTTATATCATGTAATATTTGAAATAATCGAGTGGAATAAAATCGAATAAAGATACTAACAGCATAATAATTAAATTGAATGGGAAAAGAGAAATGATATACAAAAGTAAAATAAAATTTTCAATTATGTATACACGTGTGTGATACATATAGTGTTATGTAAAAACTTTGGAAGTGCCATTCTGGCAGTATAAAATACCTTCAGTTTGCGATAATCTCTTGCGCATATTTTTCAGAGAATGGGACCAAGCTATAGGAGTGGACCAGGTTTTTGTCCCACTATAAATGCCACCGAATCTCAAGAGATCCTCGTGTCTTCTGGTATCAAAAAAGCGATACGAGTTAAAGTGCATATCATTGGGGTATGTCAAAAACCGTCATATATTATATATATTAATTATAATTTTTTTTTCTTATATATTAATTATAATTTTTTTTTCTGTTCTTAATTTTTTTCTTTTCTAATCGATGTAACTTTCTGTTTTTTTTTTAACTTCTTTTTAAAATTCTTTATAATTTTTTTCTCAAAATTTCCCCATTCTTTTTATACTGTTTTTAACGAGAGAACGTCTTTCAGCAATTCATCATACAAACACGCTTCGTGTGTCAATTTAACATCGAGGGCCGCGTCACGAGCGTCAACGCACGTCTGTTGGCCGACACGATCTATTGTGAGGAAACGGAATTCTCTTATACGTCTCGCGCACCGAACATTACGGTACCTTTCGCCGTGATCTGGGGCGGCTCCAAACCCTTGGATAATCCGGACAATATACATCTGGTGATATATCGATGCCGGGACATGGCGGACAACTGCGGCATGTGTCTGGCCCTGCCGACCAAGTACGGCTGCGGCTGGTGCCAAAGCTCAGACAGATGCGAGGTGAAGGATCAGTGCGACCGTGGTTCTGGTATGTGGCTGAACAGCAATCAGACTTGCCCGAATCCAGAGATAAAGTCGTTTGAACCGGTAATGGGCCCCTGGGAAGGGAATACGAATGTGACGATTCGCGGCATTAATCTCGGCAAGACTTTCAGGGTAAGAAAAATTTTATTTGTCTATCGTTTATTAAGGATGTTTTATATGTACAATCCCAGTAAAAAGTAACTGAAAATCAATATTGACAAATATATCCACTTTTGGTGTATTTTGAGTATGAGAAATTGCGTGGAATATTACAATTTGATCTTACACAGAGAAAAATGTATACTGTATTCAAGTAAATATTATTTATTTTAAGTATATCATAAGTTTATATATCTGCAAATATATCATAAGTTCACCACAAGCATTAAATTTAATTGAATATATTGAATTTTAGTAAGTGCAGTATTTTAGTCAAGAATATTAAATTAAAACAAAAATTTGGTTTGCTTACTACAAGAGTTGACGAGTTAAAGTAAGTTTGATTTTTCTTTGATACAAATTTACAATATTCTTGAAGAGAAAATCAATTCTTCTTTTGAGTATATGATAATAAAATTTTCTAACACTTGCGATGAGTATATTTTAAGATTATTATCAAGAATATATTCTTTGTGGAAGAAAACTATTACTTAAAAAAAGAAAAATAAACTGAGTGATCGCTTTTCTTGGCAGTAGAATGATATTTTTTTCTGTGTAGCTGATGACAGTGCAGAGATGTTTATTAATATTTATTACATTTCTACTGAAATATTCCGAATTTTGTTAATCGAAATGATTAACTTTTGGCAGAGAATTTCGCTTTGTGACAGATATCACGGCTAACATCATTGAATTATATTTAATATCTTTTTTACCAGTTAGTACTTGTATAATATTATTTCACCAAATATTTCCTCTGTATCTAAACTTTTGCAAATTTTAAACAAATTCTGAATATTATTTTCATGTGTTTTTATCATTTGAATCAACGTTATTATATGTTTCTCATAAGAACACATGTTAATTCGGTGCAAATTAAAATCCTTATAACTTGTGAACGCTTTAGTGAATTGATTTAAAAATTGTACTGAAGATTCGAAACATATGTAAGGACATTCTGTACAATTTTCATTAAATTCTCAATATTTTAAAAATAGGTACAAATCCTTAAAGTGATATATATTCATCTGCATATACATTATTGTCATTTGTCATTTGCGTATAATGACTGAAATTTAAAAAAGAAACTAGAAAATGAATAAGATAATTAAAATAAAAAATATACAATACTTAGAGATTTTTTAAATTAATTATGAAATTAAATATTATTACACATTGTCATCCCAGGTAGAACATGAAACTCATAATGACATCATTATGACGTCACCTAAAAGTCATTTTAGAAAAATCATAATGATCTCATTTGATATACTTTTGGCAATGTTTTGGTGACTTATTAATATCATTTTTATATATATTACGCAATTACTTGTTTATTTAATTATTCGTGTATATTTTAATTATATTATGCAACATAATTTTTTTTAAATTATATAATGCGATTATTGAATTTAAAAATTTATGATTCTTTTTGTCATCTTTAACTCATTTTTGTTTAGGTAATTTTTAAGGGATAAATAATCATAATGATGTCATTATGAATTTCATATTCTACCTGGAATATTTACTATTGCGTATTAATTTTTTCAATTCATCAATTAATATAATAATATGTGTTAGCTAATAAATGTTTAATCGTTTAATAGGATATAGTTGGTGGTGTCACTGTGGCTGGTATGCGATGTTTACCTTACGAGGAGCTTTATATCCGAACGAAACAAATCGTCTGTCGTGTTGATGGACCTGGTACGCAGGAAGGCAGGAGTGGACCTGTCATAGTAAAAATCGAGGATTTTCGCGGCGAGTCTGACTACAATTTCGAGTTCGTGGACCCACAAATTATTTCGATATCACCTAAATATGGACCATTGAGCGGCGGTACTACTATCAAAATCACTGGCAACTACATGAATGCCGGCAGCACTATCCATGCTGACATTGATGAGCTACCGTGTTCCATAATAAGCGCCGAACCCAACGAAGCTCTTTGCATGACGAGTCCAAGCAATAGGAAGAGAAGCGGGATGCTCAAGATGTCCTTCGACGGTGGCAAGCGTTTATACGATGGCTTCTTTGAATACGTCGACGATCCGACGATTGAGAGCGTGGAGAGCGGTGTGGCCGGTCAGATGAAAGTCCCAAAGGGGATTCCGGCAGGTGGAATAAAGATTTCGGTAACTGGAAAGAATCTCGGTTACATACAGAGCCCGCAAATGTATGTCTATTACGATGAAAAGATGTTTGTGTCACAGTGCGAGGTGCACAGTCAGGAGAGTATGATGTGCAAATCACCGACTATCGAGGTGCCTGAGCACATTATACTGGATGCCGAACGTCCGCTCTCTCTCGAGTATGGCTTCCGCATGGACAACGTCACTGGTGTACAAAATCTTTCGCAACACGGCTTCAATCATTTCCTTTTATACCCAAACCCGATCTACGAGGTCTTCGACGAGGAAGTTAAATATTATAAAAGTGATTACTTGACAATTAACGGTCAGCATCTTGATCGCGCCTGCCAAGAATCCGACGTAGTTGTACAAATTGGTAACGCCTTTTGTAATGTTACATCCTTGTCGCGGCAACAGCTCACCTGTCGGCCGCCCTTGACGCAGCCGCCAGCTATCGACGCTCAGGGATTGCCCAATAAACAAGAACTGCCGGAAGTAGTGCTGATAGTGGGCGGTACGCTTCGTTACAACATTGGCAAACTTAGCTATGCACTGCCAGCCGGACTCAACGTACCATTGTCGAAACCCACGCTAATCAGTGTGATTGCCGCGATCGTAGCCTTAGTAATCGTATTTATAGCATTCCTTATCGCCTATCGCAGAAAATCCACGGAGAGCAATCGAGTGTTGAAGAATATGCAAGAACAGATGGACATTCTGGAGCTGCGAGTAGCCGCCGAGTGTAAGGAGGCCTTCGCCGAGCTGCAGACAGAAATGACGGATCTCACGGGAGATCTAACGAGCGGTGGCATACCCTTCCTCGATTATCGCACTTACGCGATGATGATATTATTCCCCAGCGACGACAATAGTCCGGTGCTGCAGTGGGACAGACCAGAATTAGTGCGAAAGGAGAAGGGATTACGTCTGTTCGGTCAACTAATAATGAACAAAACTTTTTTACTGTTGTTCGTACGAACCCTCGAAAGCAACCGTTATTTCTCGATGAGAGATCGAGTTAATGTCGCCAGTTTAATTATGGTTACACTTCAGAGCAAGATGGAATATTGCACAGACATCCTGAAAACTCTCCTGGCGGATCTTATCGAAAAGTGCACAGAAGGCAAGAGCCATCCAAAATTATTCTTAAGACGGTATGTATACGATGTACTTTCAATCGTTGATGCTCCGTTGTATCGGGGATATATTTTAAGTGGTTGATTTATTTTGCAGAACTGAGAGTGTTGCTGAGAAAATGTTATCTGCCTGGTTCACGTTTCTCTTGTACAAGTTTATGAGAGAGTGCGCTGGTGAACCATTATATGTACTATTTCGTGCGGTGAAACAACAAGTCGATAAGGGTCCTGTCGATGCGATTACTTCAGAAGCACGATATTCTTTGTCTGAAGAAAAGTTGATCCGACAATCTATTGATTTTAAGCCAATGGTAAGAAAGCGTTAGTGCTTCAATAAGGAAAATAAATTGATGCTTTGTAATAATAATGTTTCCGTTAAAATTTCAGACGGTCTACGTCTCGATATCCCAACAAACCGTGTTTGTCGGCGGAATGGATCCTAACACGGAAAACGTGCCAGTCAAAGTTCTTGACTGCGATACAATATCTCAGGTGAAAGAGAAAGCGTTGGATACAATCTACCGAGCGACCCCTTACAGCCAAAGACCCCGAAAGGAGGATCTTGATCTTGGTAAGCGACTTGTGCGCTTGAATGTTCGAAAAAATGTCTTTACGTAAAATCACACAATTCTCATATTGTTTTACTTGAAATATTGCAGAATGGCGAACTGGTGCGTCCGGTAGATTAATTCTCTACGACGAAGATTCAACAACGAAGACAGAAGGCGAATGGAAGAAGAGGAATACTTTGAATCATTACAGGGTACCAGATGGAGCATCGCTTAATTTAGTCTCCAAACAATCATCTATATACAATCTCTCGATTTTATCGGAGAAAACGGACAAATCGCACAAATATGAGACCTTGAATCTTAGCAAATTCAGTTCGGCCAGTCCCCCACTTTCTCGCGCTACCTCGCCGCTCAATCAGAATCTTGAAGGCGGAATGAAAGTCTGGCATCTTGTCAAGCATCATGATTCCGATGTGCGGAAGGAGGGAGATCGTGGTAACAAAATGGTCTCCGAAATCTATTTGACAAGGTTATTGGCAACGAAGGGTACACTTCAGAAATTTGTCGATGATCTGTTCGAAACCATATTCAGCACTGCCCATCGAGGCTCGGCGCTTCCTCTCGCCATCAAATACATGTTTGACTTCATGGACGACCAAGCTCTGCAACATGGCATATCCGATCCCGAAGTGGTGCACACGTGGAAGAGCAATTCCCTTCCTCTCAGGTTTTGGGTTAACCTTATAAAAAATCCAAACTTTATTTTCGATATACACAAGTCCAACATCGTAGACTCGTGTTTATCTGTTGTGGCACAGACGTTTATGGATAGCTGTTCAACGTCGGACCATAGATTAGGTACATATCTATTGTTGTTCCATCTGCATTGATTAAGGATTCAGAAATGTATATAATTTTTTCTCCTGTTCTATTTTTAGGTAAGGACTCTCCGAGTTCGAAACTATTATATGCAAAAGACATTCCAGTGTACAAAGAATGGGTAGAGCGTTACTACTCAGATATCAAAGTCATGCCAGCCATATCCGATCAAGACATGAATGCCATGCTTGCCGAAGAATCGAGGGTATTTATCTACTTTTGTAACTTTTTTATAAATCTTAGTACAGGGTGTCCCATTTTAATCGATCACTCCAAATAACATTTTTAACTTTGATTGTAGAAAAAAAGGAGTCAATTGATGTAAAGAAACTATATAGTTGTTTCGAAGAAAAAATATGTAATTCACAATTAACAATTACATATTTTTTCTTCGAAACAACTATGTGTTTTCTTTACATCAATTGATTCCTCTCATTATTTTGTACGTAAAAGTATTAAAGTAAGATAATCGAAAAATGAATATTTTACAAGATATTTTACGGTTTATGTAAAATTATTAAGAATTGATTATTTGATTGACATTATTAAGAAATGATTTCAAGCCTCGTAATTCGGAAAGTACTTAATGAAAACTAACTTAACTATAGTGTTTTGGAAAGCTCTCGAGATGAGCTATAAGAATATGTGAAAACATATAGGGTGTTCCATTTAAAAAGTTGAAGGTGATCTTCACATAATCTTCAGATAACTCTTTAAGGTCAAACTAATGGCACCATCTTATGTTCCCCTTCAAGCCATACCAACTTTTGTCTGAAACATTTTTTTCTACAATTCAAAATTCAAAAAGTTATTCAGGGTGATCGATTAAAAAGGGACACCTTGTATAAGAATTTTGTCTAACATATCAACTAATTTTTGTCTAATCATATTTCAGTTGCACACAACGGAGTTTAATACGAATTGTGCTTTATACGAACTATATACATACGCGGGTAAATACAACGAACAACTAATAGTCACTCTCGAGGAGGACGAATTCTCGCAGAAGCAGAGACTGGCGTACAAGCTCGAGCAAGTGCACAATATAATGGCGGCGGACAACCCCTGATGTACCATGAATTCTATGAAGCACATGACGAAACCCGCTCGTCAAGAGTTACCCTGCTGAGCGGCCAATCATGGTCCGATTTAATTCTCGACGGCGCGAACGAAGAGGACTGGCCTACTTTGTAATCGATTATCTCAGGTTTCGTGCAAAAGCCAGTTGTTCTCAGCATAACGCAAATCGCGAGTGAACTTGGAAGAATCCCGACCCGGGTTGAACGCCGCGAGCTAACTGCAGTTTAATTAAACGATTAAGTGTTAAAATATGTGTCGAGGAGAAGTCTTCTCAGAGGTCGCCGGTTTGTACGTGTGACCATAATCATAAGCACATTGCCGCATAATTGTACATAAAATATCAAAAAAAAAATCATTGTAATAGAATATTAAATGTATGATCATACCTCGGCGACCGAGTCGAGTGCAAAAGCGGGGCGAGACCGTTTTCCCTCGTCGCGCAGTGGTCCTTATGCACCGTGAGTGATTTTAAAAATGAATATGTAATAATGAGACACACACCCTAGTGATAAGAAAGGCGCGAGTGAGGAAATCAGTCGTGATAATCGATCGATGATTTGTAAATGTGTTTAAAAAAAAAAAATAAAAAAGAAAAAGAAACGGTCGATCGCTGGTGCCGGATTAATGGCAATCGCGATTTTTAACGAATAAACATTTCCATCCACCGCTATTCTAGCTGAAATTTTTTGAATTATGGGAACTGACGAATTTTATGAAATAATGATAATTACCGATAACGATGAAATAATTAAGCGATATGAATATATTATATATATATATAGATATTATATATATATATATATATATATATGTATATATATATATATATATATATATATATATACATATATGGATGGTATGTCGTATGTATATGTGTACATATATACACTTTATACTGGCGCAAGCATGCCTGTGTGTGCGTGTGCGTATATCTAGTATCCGAGGAGGCGCGCGTGCGAGCAGTAGGGCGGTATCCCGCGTCGAGTATTTTGCCATAATTTTATCACACAAACCGAGATGTAAGGAAATCTCATTCGCTCACACGCTTATAAGCGCGCTGTCGCTCGCTCCATAGCTCGGCAGCGCTATACCGCGCGCACGCGCGTATTTAACGTGGTGTATTACGTATACTTACACGGCGCTCGTGAAGGAAGGAAGGAGGAAAGGAAGGAAGGAAGGAGGAAGGAAAAAAAAAGAGTCATCCGCGCAACGGAGACAGACTGTGTACTAGTTAGTAGGTAATTAATCTATGGACTATGGCCACGCGCGAGGCCAGCTCGATGTGACGGTTGTGTTGAGTGTGCGTGCTTCCCCTCCTTAGTCTCCGCAACTCATCGTTCCATTTTCGCCATTTAATCGTTCATTCCTATCGTCGTGCATCCATCACCGATGTCATCGTCGCTATTCCATAATCATTGATAACTTGATCCTCTTCCTGCCTCATTCGTATGCCTCTCACTATCTCTTTCTCTCCCTCTTTTCTGATACTAGTTGTAACATGTCCACTATCGAACCTCGCCCTCTTCCTTCATCCTCCTATGATTCATGCCACTTTTAATCTTTCTCTCTATCTATCTCCTTCCCCCCTTTCTCCCTTGTAATGCTTCAACGCCTCCGTCGTCATATTGTTGTCACTCTTAATTATTGTAATATATAATGAATAACGATCACTGTTGAGTATTGTCTGATTGTAATACATTGATATTGAATTGATATTGAATTGATAATCATTAATTAAAAGCGTAATTAACTCTGTGGATGTAACCATATTGGTGTGCGTGAAAGTGAGCCGCGTGAATGGGCGTGTGTTTGATCGAGAGCCGAAAGCATTGCATTACTATCGCATAAAAAGAAGACCACATATTATATATGTTATTTTTTATTTTTATTCTCGATTTTTATTACCGCTATCTCGATGAACAAAGTTGCCGGATCAATTATGTTCTTCGTCGATTTATAAAATCTATGATATCGTGATTTATAGAATCTACACGGAGAAAAATGTATACTGTTATTCGAGTAAATATTATTTATTTTAAGTATATCATAAGTTTGTATATCCGCAAATATATCATAAGTTTACCACAAGCATTAAATTTAATTGAATATATTTTGATATATTTTGAATACATTAATATTTTGATATATTTTGATATATTTTGAATACATTAATATATTCTGAATTTTAGTAAGTGCAATATTTTAGTCAAGAATATTAAATTAAAACAAAAATTTGGTTTGCTTACTACAAAAATTGACGTAAAGTAAGTTTGATTTTTCTTTGATACAACTTTACAATATTCTTGAGGAGAAAATCAATTCTTCTTTCGAATACATGATAATGAGATTTTCTAACGCTTGTGTTGAGTATATTTTAAGATTTTATTATCAAGAATATTTTAAGATTATTATCAAGAATTCTTTGTTGAAGAAAACTATTACTTAAAAAAAAGAAAAATAAACTGAGTAATCGCTTTTCTTGGCAATGGAATGATATTTTTCTCTGTGTATCGATCTGATTCTATGATCTGATGGTTTTATATATTTTTCCAAGTGTGAGGAGCTTTAAGAAATTACTCGAGACTATGATGTTTCTCGCGCGACGAGCTTATTTCGAGTTTGCGACTCTCGCGTTTAAAGTAAACGTTCTGTCAATGCGTGCGGCTGGTGAAGCTGAATGACTGTCCGACGTGTATGCACGTGTGCGTGTGTCCTGTGCGTCAATTCAATGTGCAGTTGTACGTGGAGAAAGTATTTATTGCTCAAAAAACATCGGAAGACCGTGGTGGAAAGGTATAAGAAAGCGTAAAAAAAGAGATACGGAATCGTTGGGGTAGGCTCACGGAAGAGGAATTGGGGGGAGGGCGGGGTAGAATGTCGGTGGAAAGGAGACAGACGGTGGAATCTACGCGGTGGCGAAGACACATCGCCAGACAGGGTAATAATTGCGCGACACAACAAGAGGTGAGAAATTATAATTGCGACTAATGACGGTTTCTCTCTCGAGGATGAGACGCGAACATATGCTCGTCGTTCGCCCGCTGTTCCGCGCAGGAGGACGGGGCGTGCGGTACCCTCCCCCGCGCACGCCGACTTCAAATGGTACTAATAAACCCAAAGTGCCTCTGGTAGATTTTTGGGCATAAGCTTGAGTAATAAAGACTACATAGCATTTACTATTAAAAAAAATAAAAACGAGAGAAAGAAAGAAAGAGGAACACGACTACGACGCGATCGCTGATTATAATAAAACAATAATAAAGAGAAGAACCGAGAGAGGGAGAAATAAAAAAGAGAAAAGAAAAAACGAAACATAGCGAGAGCGCTTTTCTCACGCGCCTCCCGCGACCGATTTGTACGCAAAAAAAAGAAAAAAAGAAAAGAAAAAGGCGGGCGGAGAGAGAACGTTTGCGTACGCGAATGTGTACGCGGTGCGTACGCTAATTACACGTTTAGATAGATATTAACGTATAGTCGGTAGCCTAGTCTCTATGTCGGTGTCTGTCTGCCCTGAGTGTCTTTCCCACGGTGTACCCCTCCCCCTCTAAGTGCGTGTGAACCTTGAAACCCTGGTGAGCAGACGTGCGAGACTTCTTCATGGTCCACCGTCATCCTCGAATCCCGCCTCTCTCCCATATCTGTATGTCCCCATGTCCCCCCCCCCCCCCCCGGCCGTGTATACTATATTGTGAGAATCCTCGGCGTTTCTCCATCTCCCGATTCCCCTCCTCCCTTCAATCCCTTCTTCCAAATACCCCGATGTCCCGTCTTTTTAACACGACTAACTGTGCTCACATCACGCGTCATTCGCCACAATTACCGATCGGCACATTTTGCTAAGTAAATATTATTATGATTATTATTATTGTATCGATGGTTCCTCAATCAATTATGAAATGTACGAATCCCGATTTGTAAAATTCGACTTAACTAAGAAGATGTGTAATAACTTTAATCACCGTATCGTTCGTGCGTGGCTTGCTGCCCCGGCAGTCTAACTACCGTCGTATAATTGAGTATGGAGTGCGCGCCTCCGAGAATGTTTCCGGTGTACGCTGATGTGCGAGCGAATGTATGAGTATCTGCGTGTATCCACTATGTCCCTGCCTCTCTGTGTGTCTTGTTCGAGCCGCGTATGCGTACTCCGTCCCCTCTCACTGTCATTCCACGGATTCGTCTGACCGGGGCTGAGAGGGGTAAAAAGGATCGAGTTGGAAGAAGAGACAAAGAGGACGGGGTCGAGTGAATGAGAGACCGGGCGAATGTCAGATGGACTGTGCAAGACTGAGAGAGGCAGCGGAGGGAGTTCGCCAATCAATCCCGAGGTCGCTCCCTCGCCGCTCATTTTTACGTCATAAATATTAATTACGATTATACATGGAGGATAAACGCATGCAGCAAAACATGATTACGTTACGTTTATAATAGTCATGTTCCTTTCTGATCGATGATAATTGATAATAAATCTATATCAATCTTGCTACATTATTTTGTACTTGTTTTTTTTTTATTTCTTAATTTTTGTATAATCTTAATATATAAATATATAAATCGATAAATATATCATTTTTAAGTTATCTGACGTATTATTATTATTATTAATTATTATTTTTGTATAAATGTGTGATTACTAGTACGGATAGTGTAATAATTTTGTATGTTTATTGAACCAAAAATAAATATTATTGATAAAGAACGAGGACGCTTGAACAAACTATCCGTATCTCCGTTTTAATCTTCATCGTCAACTACAGAGACGGACATTGGCTGCGGTTGTTCAGCCACGCGTAAACTTGGTGGCCCAATAATACTCAACACTACAGGTAACACTATCAATCCATGCCAGAGTCCCAACAAGATCATTAGCAAGAATATCCTAAAAAAGGCTATGAACACGTAGGACTTCGAGAATCCTAGCATTATTACGGCAAACAATGTCGATCCCGCGCCGTATGCAACTGCTGCCCCGATATGTCTGACTGCGATCAATGCCCGGGTTGTACGAGGAGCATCATCGTCATCCTTTCGTAATTCTGTATGCAAGAAAGCATGTGCGACGTGCGCGGCATAATCCACGCTTAAACCGATAGCCAGCTGGAGACCTGCACAAAGGATTCTTATTGAGATAGTCGGCATGAAACTAGCCAATCGACAGCCGAAGATATTCGTTTTGAACAACATTGAAAAGAGAAATTGCTCAAGAGTGACTACTCGGGAATTATTCGCATGTGTTGATAAAAATAATTGAAATATGCACTAATATATAATGATACTCTAATTTTATGCCGATAATATAATGATAAGATAACGAAAATTGATAAGTTTGTTCTTAGTTATTCTCTCTTTGCAGATATTTTTTTATAAGGATTCATCTTTTTTTTATAAGGATAATTTTGCAATATAAGTATCCCTTTTAATTCCTAAACAAAAAGCTTTTATCGAAATGGTAGTGATAATGACGTTTTCATAAATAAATACATTTACAAAGAATTTACTTAATATTTTTATAAAATTTATAAAATTGACATATTACAGTAAAAATAAAATTTTTCGTTATAAAGCACATTTTCTTTGATTTCATCAAATAATTTTTTCTTTGATTATATTTACAGATGTTTTTATCTTTTATAATAAAATATTGAAGCAAAAGAATTACGATTAAACAAAAAATGTACTTACTAATGCTAGAGATCATGTTTATTGGTTGTCCCCAAAAAGTCATAAAGCCACAAACATTTAGCAGTGTAAGAAGTACACTTAGTAAAATCCAAATACAAGTCTGAACTTCAGCAATAAGTACTGCTGTGGTACTCATGACACAAATTAACGCCAATAACAGATTTCGTGATACTTCTTGAGTGATCATTTTATCGGAGGTCCAGGGTCCAAATATTACGCTCCACACTGTGGCGTAACCCTCAATTTTCGCTTCACTCACCAACTGTTTACTATCATCCATTGCTGGAATCCATTGGGAGGGACTCCCAAATCGTTTGTATTTAAAGTCAATGGTTGTTGCTATGATTCGTGGAGCGTTTTTACCACATGTGAAAGTTTCATTGAAAAGAAAATTTCTCTGATATTTACCACCAGTTCCGCTAACAAGAAATTTCGACAAATAGTGGTGAAAATTATCATCTGTAATTTTCGTGGTTTTTAAATCTAAAATAAAAACAAAACGTTTTCTAATTATTTTAAAGTATGCGATTAATTAATAAACAAATTATGTCTTTTAAGAGTAGCTAAAATCTTTGTAAATAGATAGTCTTTTATATAAATATAAATAATAATTTTCATTTTTTTAAATTTTTTCAAAATTAAAATAAAATATTTATATTTTGCTACTTCTAAAATTCAAACAATGTTATCAATGTTATAAATAACCTATGTTATAGAACGTCGACACAAATTTTGCAAATTTAATTGGCCAAGGTTCTATATTTTGAATAAAAGATGCATTCTCTAAGCGTTCTGTTAGAGATATTATCTTAGAGAATTCAGAGGAATAATCAATGTTGTCTCCCATAAGAACGAAAGCTTCATATCCTTGATCGGAGTATTTTTGATCGTTTATAATTGTGAACTGATCTAAGTATGATCCTTTCGGCACCAATAATGCTGGATCAAATCCCTGTTTCAAATGGATCGAGCCCGCGATACTTATCGATATCATTATCAATGTAATTATTATTATAATAATTTTGCCGGGCGTAGTTAATATTGCACGATGGTACAAAACATGTATAAATTTCCAGGAGAATGCATTGCTTGGATCCGATATCTTGGGCGTAAAGTTTTCATGCACGATACATGGTAATATCCCATTTCTTTTTTGTTCTATTCTTCTGGAGTCTATGGTAAAATAAGCAATGAAAAATGTAATTTGGAATAAATATGTTATCAATATGCCCATCGCAGCATAGATGCAAAATGATCGAAGTGAAGGTAATACCTAAAAAAAAAGAGCATTATATAAAAACGTTATGTAGAAAAGAAGCTGGTTTTTTCATAATTATTTTTACGTAAAAGCGAAAAATGCATGATATAAATCAAGGAACTTGACAATTGTATGTATTAATGTATAATTGTACATATTAATGTATATATTGAAGTTGAAAAAATTTATTTCAGTCAAATAAAAAAAGAGAGAGATCATTAATCTATGTTTTTGGGTAAAAATAGAAAAAAGTAAATATTATACATAAAAGAAGAAGATATTTTTGTAAGAAAATATATTATATGATAAAAAATTATTACCCAGGACATTGTTATTCAAAATCATACTTTAGTATTTTATTACAAAATTATGCGAAAGACTCATCACATTATTCAATTAAGAATATTTATCTTTCTTGATTAATAATAATTAATAATTCTTTTATTTAAAATCGATTGTAAGTGTTAGAAATCATTAAATTCATAAATCAATCAAATTATGATAAATATTATGCATTCTTCTGCATGTTATAATGAACTCTATACATACTGTAGTAGCACCAATAAGGAAAGCCACGATGTCGGTAAACGAAGTAATAGTAATAGCAGAACCGGAACGACCTAACGTAAGTCCGATCCTTTCTGTCAGTGATTTACTTAACATTAATTCATCAGTGTGTAATTGTTTCCAATATGCATGAAATACAAAAATATCATCTACTCCAAGACCTAAAAGTAAAAACGGCAAAGATGTATGTATTGGACCGTATGGGATGCCAATTAAAGAGCATATTCCTACTGCAAGTAAAAATGCAGTGCCCACACAGAAAAGCCCAACACTAGTAAGAAGAAACTGCGGGTAAAAGAGAGACAATTCCAATAAATCATCAAATTAGAAGAAAATTTGTATTATACTCATATAATAATTATATTAGAACACATACCCGCAATTCCACCCAATTATATTTCGAAAGTATTGCCAAAACATATAGGAACATTAATGAAACTCCTAAACTCAATTTATCTATGTCTTGAAACATAGTTGTCCCGCTAAGATCTCCATAACTTCGGCCTGCTTCATAATAAAATTCCAACGAGTTATTATTTCTCTCATTTTGCAATTTGTTTGAAAGCTTTTTAGTAAATTCCAGAAAAGCTGATTCCCAAGTTAATACCTCGAATGTTGCCTATGTAAAATGATCGACTTTGATTATAAATTTACTTATGTTATTTTATAAGTCTATAAAATCTTAAATTTACTTATGTTATTTTATAAGTCTATAAAAATTGATCAAATATTTTTAATATTGAACAACAAAAATGAAAGTTTATGAATTAATAATAAAATATAAATAAGAATAAAAATATAAATCATAATCATAATCTTTATAATCACATCTTGATATTATATTTTATATTAATTAACTTTCTGTCAAATTATCTCTATTCTTATAAATCAGATAAAATTAATATAAAAACTAAATCATATATAAATAACATATCATAAAATTTAAATATTTCCGAGCCTAATTCTTTTCGATTTAGTTTAAATATTTCTTTTTTGTTTCTTTTATTTAATTTAATTTTTTTCTTTTTCTAAAACAATTAGATATAGCTTAATTTATAGTAAAGTTTAAGATTTTGTAAATGATATTCATTCAGCATTAAGATATTTATTAATAAATACATGATTTAGCTTAATCTAAATTCATCTTACCCAATCAGCAGTTCCCGCGTTGTTTCCACTTTTATCCATGTCCACATCGAGATATTTAATGTGAACCATCAATTGCGTCTTTATAGCTGTTGCTGCAATAATTCTACCTTTTTCATCCAAAGTTATGCCTCCAAGAAGTTCACTGAAATTCATGGAATGACCCAATGTAGGACTGAGTTTTATTGTATTTATCTTTTTAATAATTTCTTCTGTAGAATCTTGTTTAATTTTAGCACTATCAAAATTCCATATGTCTAAAATACTGAACATAAGGCAAGTCTTAGGCAGGCTATTAATTACGTCGCAATAGAATTTAATATCAGCATGAATAGCAGGTTCAAACGAAGTTTGATTAATTCTTGAAGTAACATCATCGTCAAAAAAATCATCTCCTGAAAGAGGATCTTCTCTTTTTGTTCTATGCGTATAGCCAGCAATGGAAGGAATCCTATGAATAAAAATTTGTATATTAATACTATAATTTTTTTTCTTGCAAATAAATACATATTTAATACAAATTTAATACACAAAAATCCCCTTTTTGTTATAATAATGAAAAATAAAATGAGATATTTTTATGAAATTAATTAATATAATTATTAAGTAAATAAATCTTTTGGATTAAAGTCTCAATTTATATAAGTTTAATACTATAATATTAATATATAAAATGCTATAATATTTATCAAAATATACAGAGTTTTAATGTAATTATTTAAATTTCATATCCGTTATACCTACTTCATACAAACATCGGTCCAAGAAATCTTCTCAATTGGTGTTTGAATAGAGATTATTTGTTTAGTTATTTCATTTAACTGCAATATAAAAAATATATTTTGTAATTATTGAAAAGAGTACTATTAATTAATTTTTCATTTCTGTAATTATTAACATCTCATATATAATTGAAAATTATAAAAAAAAGTATCGCATTATATATTTACCCTAATAAGCGCTTCTTGTTCTAAGACATTGTCACCAGTCAAAATAAATGTTTGGATTCGTAAACCCTCTTTAATATGTGACATTAGCCATTCAGTATCTAATGCAAAGTCAGAGTCTGGCGAAGACCAAAGCTTCACAGGATTTTTCTCCTGTCGAAAACGAAACAATCCAGAGAGACAGAGTAATATTACAATAGAACATCCTAATAACCAGTTGTATGGATTTTGAGCGACACGCATTCCCAGCCTATATCAAGATAAAAGCATTCTGTTATTAAATATTGTATATGTAGATTAATTTTTTGACTTTAAGATCAAAGTTTACCGATAGAAAAAATGTTCCACCCCCTTAGATAAGCGTTCTGGTATGTTATGCCAAAATTTATGATACAATTGCTCTTTAGCACGATTCTCGTGCAGCTCCATTATTTCCTTAGTCATAATAAAGGACAATAACAATGATACTATAATTGCATAAAAAAATCTAATGACTATGCTTGTACAAGAGAGGCTACTTTATGCAGATGCATTTATATTCTATTTTCCTGAGCAGGTAATATAGATGTGCATAGCCTGAGCAGGTAATATAGATGTGCATATGACGATAGAATGATTGTGCATTAATTATTATAGTAAATTTTGCGTAATAATCAAGTAATTTTATTACGCATCATTTTATATCAGACGCATTTGATTTCACATTATAACCTCATTAAATAGCGGTACATGATCAGTTCCAGTTTTTTATCGAGTTACATTGCTAATTATAAAAGGTTATTAAATGTCACAGATAAATATCCGTCCGTGTCACAGATAAAGATCGTTTGAAATAAAAACTTGCATAATAACTCTTTCATTATGCAACGACTTTTTGTGGGTATAAACCATTTGCACTCTTCTACACTAAGACTGACTAGGAACCTTTGATCTCTTGTTCTGGATTTGCATTTATATCTCTCATTCAAACATAAACAATTCTATCGAATAAAACGATCTTTTATCCGAACATAATTGCTGTTTATTATGGCTGTGTTCCAAAATTCACTGCTAGTACTGAAAATCTATAGTATAAGTAACGTAAGCTATAGATTTTCAGTAGTGGCAGTGAATTTTGGAACGCAGCCCATCTGACGATATATTACTTCTGTTCAACCTGTCAATCGCGGCATGATTCTCATTCAATCGGAATACACTTAATAATAACTGAAAAATATATTTTTTCTTGACTCTTTCGCTTTAATAATATTTGAAACAAAATTTGTATTTCTTTCTAAAGAAATATGCTTATATATTTTATTGAAGTTCCTTTTCTATAGTTTTTTACACTTTGCTAAAAATAGATCGAAGCCGAATATACATATATAAGGTATATTTTTTTTTATTCTTAAAGTTTCTAACGTGCACACTAAAAAGGAGATAGATTTATATATGTATTATTTAGAAGTTGGAGAGAAAGAGAGAAGAGACGAAAAGTCAATCAAGAATAAAAAAGAACGAACCTATGTTCATATACATCGGAAAAGCACCTAGTTCGATCTAATGCAGATAAAATTTAAGTTACTTACCCTGGGCTGAAACGATCACGTGATCAATTTAGGGATCGAAATAATCGGCGCGCGTAACGTTTTTGAAACAGTAATTGTGTGCACGTTAACGAGAGTTACACGAGTCTGTTGTTAGAAATTTTATCTCAATCGTTGTCATCGAAGCAACGTCCGTGATTATTAAAATCAGTGACATCATACGGACCGGTTCAATTTATATGGAAATTAAGTACTTATCTTATATATATTAGTATTAATTAAGTATTTATCTTGTATATATTATCGAGAAACTTGTTTGAGCTATTTGACGATTTTTTCTCAGTAAAAATGAAGGCCATCATTTTTTGCATGTTCCCGATTTTTGTCATCATATATCTTTGCAATTAAGCCTTAAATTAAAACTCAACTAAAGTAAACTCTATTTAAAATTAATCGAAGAATGTGGTTTTGTTAATATTTTATTTCTACAAAGCTTAGTTTACGAAAAATCCCTTATTTCCAATCACTTATAATTCGAAAATTATTAGTGCCTCGACATTTTCGTTGAGGAAAAATAATCGTCTTTAGATGATCCCAGGAATCTGTCTTTGAAAGATTGATTATGAGTTTTGGGACACTCTGTATATATACATATATATATATATATATATATATATATATATATATATATATATATATATATATATACGCAAATCTCGAAAAGGAAAGGTTTTTCAAAAAAATGTTTCAGATAAAAGTTTTATGATTTCAAGGGGGGCATAAGATAGTGGCAATTATTTGACTTTAGACAGTCGTTTGAAAATCACATGAAGGTCATCTTTAATTTTTTAAACGGAACCCTCTATTTTTTATTGCTTATACTTCTAGCTTATTTCGAGAGCTTTCCCAAACACTATAATAAAGTATTTTTTCATTGAGTATTTTTCGAGTTATGAGACTTGAAGTAATTTCTTAATTTTACATAAATCATAAAATATCCAGTAAAATATTCATTTTTCGATTATCTTTTCTTAATACTTTTATGTACAACAGAATGAGAGGATTCAATTATGTTATGTATTTTCTTCACCAATTGATTCTTCTCATTATTTTGTATATAAAAATATTAAGGTAAGATAATCGAAAAATGAATATTTTACTAGATATTTTATGTTTTATATAAAATTAAGAAATTATTTCAAGCCTCATAACTCGAAAAGTACTCAATGAAAAAATATTTTATTATAGTGTTTTAGAAAGCTCTCGAGATAAGTTATAAGAATAAGTAATAAAAAATAGAGAATTCCGTTTAAAAAATTAAAGGTAATCTTCATATGACATTCAAAAAATTATTCAATGACTTATGTCCTTCTTCGAGTCAAATAACTTTTGTCTGAAATATTTGTTTCTACAATCAAAAATAAGAAAATTATTGAGGTGGATATCTTAAAATGATTCACTCTGTATATAAGATATATTTATATTATCATTTATACGTCATTATATCACAATCTTTTTATAAATTATGCAGAATTATACTTTTTTTATTAGACTTTTTTTTTCCGAGTATGATTTTGCATTCAACGGAGTTATATAAATATCTTGATATAATTTTTTATATAAATAATAATTATATATATATATATATATATATATATATATATAATATCTACACAATCATATATAATTATATATCTACACAATTATATATAATTGGATATAAACTATTGTTTTTCCCGAGGAATATGTACTCATTATGTTTCTTCATAGCGTACGCGACGAGATACATAATAAAATATTATTGTTTTCTCACATTATGCAGAATGTTAATATTAATGATAATGTCATATGAGATCACATTTGGTGGTATATTATGTGCGACATATCGCTACTTTCGCTACCTGCATATGACTATTTGTTATTAACGGTTTTCTATAATTTGTATTTTCACATGATTAATGATAAATAAATAATTCATTTTTATTTACATGCCCGTACTTCAATCTAATATTACATGTAGAAAAATCATATGAACAATAACATTAATGGTAATATGATTTGGAAAGTAAAGTGTTATAATTTTTTGTGTATAAAATATTTAAAAAATTCTGTGTCACATATAATATTATTTTGTGTGTTTTATTACTATAGGAAAACGTTAAATTCATTTTTTTTGGTTACAATTAATAAATAAGATTAATATGCGAACAAAATATCAAATGTTTTACTACTGTTTAATGCAATTAAATAAAGAGTATAAATATACTGTAGGATAATCATCGCAATTTTTAATTTAAAGTTGTGTATCACATATTGAAAAACAAGCAATCTCTTATCTTTTTCACTTTGATTTTATAATATTTAAGACATAATTAACTCTCTGAGAAAGATAATTTAATTTAAAAAAAGATTTAGAAAAAACGAATTTAATTTAAAAAAAAAGATAATTAAAAAAAACTATTTATAAAAAACTTTTTATTAATATTTATTATTTAATTTATATTATTATTTATATATATTATTATTTAATATTTATTTAAAAAAATAAAATTATAACAATAATATTTATTATTATAGAAAAGATATACATAAAATTATAACAATAATATTTATTATTATATTTATTATTATAGAAAAGATATTTGGATATTTTAACCACATTACAGCCACACATTACTCTCTAAAAGTGAATCAGTGTATTATCACTGATTTACAATATTGTATTTATAATTGCTTGTAATCAGTGACTATTTACTGTTTTTTTCAGTGAAGAGATAATATTCAGAGATGATAATTCACTTTTAGAGAGTACAAGTAGAAAATTGTTCGCGGATGAACGCGATTTTACATAGCAACAAAGTGAGAAAACGCGCACAAAAGAAATTTGGACACACGCAATTTTTTAGTTTGATTTTTAAGTTTTTCAGACATCACAGATTTCCATAGAAATATATTTACTTAATAATTCACTTCCTTTCTAATAATCAAAAAGAACTGAAAGCGTTGAAAGTGCGAGCGCGAATTAATAACTAAGCGGTTTTACAAAAGCGGTTTTCTTGCGGCGCGTGCAGAAATTTTTGCGAGATTGCGTAACATTTCTTTCCAATCTTTTACGTTGCGATTAAGAGGTTTTTTTGCAAATAATTTTCATGATTTAGCGGTGACCAGTGGCCTAAAGAGCGCCACGTATAAAATAGGCCGCTGATAACGCGTCGATTATCACAATATTGCTACACTGAACTATCTGACTGGAATGGGAACTGCTATGCTAAATATATAAACGAATATCGAGCTTGAGATAGATAGATTTTCAAGATTAAGTGTCTCCCTCTAAGTGATACGCATCTTTACACATGCGCACATCTTGGATAAGCAGATCTAAAAATCAAAGTGAGAATACCTAGTCTTGACGAATGTTCTCTCTTGCCTTGCCAAAGGCTATTTAATTCACATTCCAGTTTATATACAATCCAGCAGTGCCGTGAGCATAGCTTTTCGAGTGGCTGATTGACAATCAGCTGATTACAAAATCGTGCGGTCGGGCCCGTGTACTATTTTTATTTCAATGACTTGTTAGCTTTATTATAATATACTTTATTATAATATATTTATTATAATATACGCACAGAACATTGCAGCAATTTTGTGACAATATTGCAATGTTGTTGAAATATTAGTATTATAATATTATAGCAATAGTAATAATATTGTTGCAATATTCTGTTCTGTATGGAAATGTTTATAACATACATTTCTTTCGCGAAAGAAAAACTCGAGTTGACAAAAGCGGTTGGATTTTCGTGGCAAACAGAAAAGTCAAGAAAGTTCTGAAAAGACGTGACTTTCGAATCTGATCGAATAATTACATATTGTTCTTTGAATTACATTTACGAGCAAATATACAAATTTTATGTAATTATCTAAAAATTCTAATTATATTGTAGAAGTCGAGCGACTTTTCTGTTTCAAAAATATTTTTTTTCGCAAATATAAATGTCATATATATCTATAAAATGTAAATATATTAAATAAAGGAAAAAGCTTTAAAAAAAAATTGCGCTTTAGCGACTTATCATCAAGTCAGTCTTGATTGAATTGCCGTTGACAGAGACTGAGAAACTACTATAATTATCTATTTAATAAGAGTTGTTTTTTTCAAAATCAAGAACTTTACATTATACCATAAAAATATTACATATGTAAATTGCATATGTAAAACATACAACATATTAAATGTAAAACAACATAATAGCTCTTTTTTTTAGAATTTTTTAGAAATAATTGATCCATTATATAATCACAACACATATGTAGGATGTTGGATTTAGCGGTCGGTTGTCGCGCGTCTCTCCTTATACTCTCCTATCACTTATACTACTATCACGTGTAACGTGTGTTTCGTTATTATTGGTCGATACCAACAATCGATACCGAATAACGAAACACACGTTACATGTGCGAGCAAGGAGAGTATAAGGAGAAACGCGCGAGCGAGAATGTATCGAGTGTGCGAGAAGTAAGGACAGAAAAGACAGTGCGATAGATATTGAGCATGAGGGAAAGAGAGTTCTATGAATTTTTGTCTCGTTTTTGTCTCGTATAGCCTGTTATATATATATATTTTATACCGAATTTTAATTTAATAAAACACTGATTCTACACATATGACTACTTGTATGTAATATTCCTGATTATTTTTATTATTTTATATTCTTATCTTTCGCAAGAGGAATTTTATAAATTGTGTTGCATTATTTTTATAGACAGAAAATTAATGACAATATGACTTTCGGTTAATCGCCATAACATTTTATTTTTACTAATAGCAAAATACATGTATAATGAGATATTAATACACATTTTTATACTTTTTATTTGGATAAAAAGAATTTGGATTTAAAATAAATTAAATTTATTTATATATATTTATACATAAATTTTATTTAAAATAAATATTACGCATTATACGCGATTTACATAAAACAAATATTATTTTTTTATATAATCAAATTTTTTTTAAGGAAAATATCAATTTTAGTTATTTTATATTCAGTATTTAGATTTATACTTATTATTAGAAAGATATTTAGTTTATTAAAGGGGATATTTTTATATTATCTTATCTATTTTTAAAAATAATTGATCTATGAACTTACGTAGATATCAAAACAAATGTATATTTATATAGCTGGTTATTGATTATTGATTTTTATTTATGACAGAAGAATTTTATCGCGGAGACCAGCAGTTATATCTTATCGGATTACTTCGCTACAATCATTGACTAAAATTCCAAGTTTTAACAAAAAATTGCTGAGCGCTAGACATGAAAAAAATTGTGTTATAAGTATAATCTGTGTTTTTTTAATCTTTAAATCATACTAGCTTAGTTTTTACATTAGAGTTGTAGATAATACATTAATTCTTTCACAGATTAAACAAGATTGAATTGAAAAAAGGGAGAATAGGAAAAAGAGAAAGAGGGGAGTCACAAAAATGAATAAAAAAAAATAATTTAGTAAAATATAATAGAAAGTATATTTAAGAGAATGTACAATTTTTAGTTCAAACTCATCACATGCGATTGCTTAGTATCTTTTAAAAATTAATGTACAAATATTTGTCATAATCGATAAAATCTGTAATTGAAAAATTCAAAATAATATTAATTTGACATAAATAGAGATTTCGATTTTACATCTTTCACAAGAAATTTCATCATATATTTAAATTTCACAAGAAATTTCATCATATATTTAAATTTCACAAGAAATTTCATCATATATTTAAATTCATTATTGCGGCCTAATAGAATCGTGAATAAAATTTGCATAAGAAATCGTGTCGAAGATTTGTTAAAATTTCTGATAATTATAAAAACTAAATTTATCTAATCGTTATCTAATCGAACTTCCATCAAATCGCAAATTATCTAATTACATAACATTAATTAAAATATATAACAAAAAGTAATGATATCTCTATAAGCAACTTAAGAAATTGAGCACACGTAATTTCATTGAATAAATCATTATATTAATTTCTAAAATATATAAAATATGAAAATCAAATAAATAGAATAGTAAAATAAAATCTTTATTTGGTAGTTAATTGAGATTCACAATTATATAAATTTTGTTCGTCATGCAATTAGGTATTGTTAAAGAAGTAATAAGGAATAAATGACAAAAAATAATGAAAATATTTGTCTTATCAAAAGTGTCACATAGTAATTACGCATATAATTATGTATGATTTAATCAATTACATATTTTTTTCTTTCAAAATATAAATCTTGCGATAAAATATGCTTGTAATAAAATATCTTATACTAATCTACAAAAATTATTTTATAACATAATTAATATCATAAAAATCTCTTCATCTCTTGTTTTTAACTAAATCAATTTTGGAATAGTAATAGTCATAATCGATAAAATCTGTAATTGAAAAATTCAAAATAATATAAATTTGACATAAATAGAGATTTCGATTTTACATCTTTCACAAGAAATTAATTCATCATATATTTAAATTCATTATTGCGGCCTAATAGAATCATGAGTAAAATTTGCATAAGAAATCGTGTCGAAGATTATATTAAAATTTTTGATAATTATAAAAACTAAATTTATTTAGTCGTTTACAAGTCGTTTAATTTATATATGCACAATAATTGCAGTGTATCTCACTGCAATTATTGTGCATATATAAATTAAAATGCAATATAAAATCATAGATGAATAATGCTTCCAAAGAGGAGACATTTGTAGAAGTTGCATATGCACCAAAGTATATAAAATACTGATTAATGCGAAACCTGGTATTAAAATCTTTACCATAGAATTACATGTTTCGACATTTAACCAAAGCGGCGTAAAAATTATAAAAGGAAGAACCGTCTCGAGATCTTTTCGATGAGCGCTCCGTATGCGACTCACATCAGGATGACCATCGCCAGTTGGACATAAAATTATGCTTGATTTTTCTTTCATCCACATTCTGTCTTCTTCACTATGGATCACCTACGTAACAAATAAAATTACACATAAAAGCAATTAGATTGGAACATAATTTTAATTAACTCATATAATGAATACTTTTTCTTATTAATATATAAAAATCAGATTTATTTATCATATTTCTACAATGATTTTTATATAACATTTTTACATAATATTTTAATAAAAAAAAAATACATGGCGCGTGAGAGACGCGAGATTGACAGAACAACGAATGTGAAAATTTATCTGGAACAAAAATGTCCCATTTGTCATTCTACCGAGAGTTTTACCACAAAAGAAAAAGATTTTAATTGACTGTGCGCGCTTGAAAGCTTTTATTTCGTACACACAAGTTGTTCTTTCATTTTTTATTTTATATATGTCATACATGATAAAATACTACATTTGAGAAAAAGATCTATTTTTAGATTATAGCAAAGTTTAATTTCAAATTTTCCGAAACTGATTTAATTTACATTCCAATCTAGATATATGCCAGATTCCTATATCGAGATAATAATTCAAAAGCTAATTGAAATTTTAGCATAGACTTTCGTTGTATTTTATAATTTTTGAAAGAGAATTATGATTTAATTTAACATTCTGTTTTGCTACTTTATGTGTACGTATGTTTAATTAATTTAAAAGAAAAATTTGCCACTATTGCATTAAAATTTAATAATAATGATTTGTAAGTACTCTTAAATAATGAAAGAAAATTTTTTATAATAATTTTATAATAATTTTTTATAATAAATTTTTATTAATATTATTTGAAGAATGATTGAAAATCGTTACATGTATACATACATACATATATATATATATATATATATATATATATATATATATAATTTATCTATGTATCAATACATCAATACATTTCTTTATTAAGCACATAATATTTTTTTATATTATATATATGCCATCATCATTCGAATATATTACTTGGAAAAGAGAATCTAACATAATTTTGCTCAAATTAACTCAATATTAATTTATAAAAATATTTTTATATAATAACATAAATAATAATAGATCTTATTATACATAATTATATTAGATATAATTATATATAAAATTATATATAAATCTTTTTTCCCCAGATATATATGTAAGATTTAAATACTTTCGTTTACTTTACTTTTTTTTATTTTATGTTTAAAGCAAATAATTCCAAAAAAATATAAATATATATTTAAATTTTATTTTCGTTTAAATAAAAATTGAAACCTCAGTGTGTAATGTGATGATATACTGCATATTTTATTAACTCGAATTATGTTGATATTTAATAATGTACGATCTTGTGTATCTTCGGGATTAGTTGACATATTTGTTTTGTTTTTTTTTTTGTTGAGATATCTTCAAGATTTATTGACACATTGTTCTGTGTTTCACAGAAAACCACTAAATGCAAATATAGCATGTGAATAAATATCAAGAATAAAGTATTATTGTTGCGTGATTAAAGTATTAATAGCAAGTATAATTAACTACTATTTTCCTTATTTTTTTCTCTATTCTTCAAAAAATTTCTGCATAATAAATTGCGTTCAATTTATATTAACTAGAATTCATATTTCTTTTTTTTAATAATAATATATTTTATAAAATAGCTGAATAATAATATCATAATTTAGAATATTTATTTTTCTTTTAATAATATATTTTATAGAAGAATAGTCGAATAATAATATGATCTAAAATAAAAATTAATTTTTGATTAAATCACTATTACAATGATATATTGAGACTTTCGAATCTGTATGAATTAGTGAACAATTAACATACAGGACAATAATTAGCTGTCAACCAACAACTGTTTACAAAATAGATAAAGTCATACCATTTGTATTGCGGATTTAAAATTCGAAAGTATCGAGTAATAGGTAGCGTTTATAGTTATTATATGTTAATTAAATTGTCATGTTTATTGTAATGTTAATCCATATGTCCCATCCATCCATTAATTATAATTAATTACAGTTTTTGATACTCATAATTTGTATTTATTCTAATATTATTACATATTTAACTGCTCTACAAACATATTATATGAAGTATATTTTGTATCGGAAGTAAATTCATAATTATCATGTTATTAACAGACACTGGAAATATCGAAATTTGATCGGACGAGGATGTTAATTTTCATGATTATCATAGTATTAACAATCATCGACAATGTCGAGTAAAGTTTCTTGATTGTTAAATGGCGATATTATATTATGCATATATAAATAATGTTGAAAATATCGAATCGAAAGTGAGACCAATTAATATACACGATTGTAATTTTACAATCAATTTATATTCCTATGTGAAAAGAAATCTCTTCCAATAAACGCTAACAATTGCAAAATAAAGCGTCCAATTAATAAATAAATTTTATTAGTTTCATAAGTATAATAAATTTGTTTGACATTTGATATATTACTGCACTTTATCATTTTCATATATCATATTAAAGAAGATGAGACACATTCAAAAATCAAAAACTATAAAAATATATAATTAAAAATGCAATAGCATATAAAAAATAATATTATACACGTATCTTATAATTATACGTATCTTATATATACGTTACTTATAATTTGTGTCAATCTGTTTTAATTAAACATTTATATGTTGTTATTTAATGCCGTGTTATATTTGATTTGATTGTGTAATTGATTTAACATTTCTTATATATCTATTTTATATTCTTATATATCTATTTTAAAATATGTTAAATAGTTCATGTATTGCTGTAGTTCTAAAATATATATATATATATATATATATTTTTTTTTTTTTTAGAACTACAGCAATACATGATATTATATATATATATATATATATATATATATATATATATATATTAGAACTACAGCAATACATGATATTATATATATATATATATATATGTATATATATATATATATATATATATATATATATATATATATATATATATTAGAGTTATTTCGTAAGCATTAAAATGAACATAGTTTTAATTAACTTTTTCTAAATCTTTTCAGGTAAATATTGAAAAAAATAAAATAAATTATCTTTATTTATAAAAAGTGATATCAAATGATATAGTACTTTAATCTTCGTATAAAGATTAAAAACTAATTTTGAATACATATATAATAAATAAATTGATTAATTTTTTGATGTATGTTTATTGCTCTGCTCTTATATATATATATATATATATATATATATATATATATATACATACACACACATACAGGATGTCCCAGTTATCTTCCGTCATCTTTCAAAGACAGATTCCTGGAATCATTTGAAGACGATTTTTCCTCAGTGAAAATATTTTATTGAAGTTCCTTTTCTATAGTTTTTTACACTTTGCTAAAAATAGATCGAAGCCGAATATACATATATAAGGTATATTTTTTTTTATTCTTAAAGTTTCTAACGTGCACACTAAAAAGGAGATAGATTTATATATGTATTATTTAGAAGTTGGAGAGAAAGAGAGAAGAGACGAAAAGTCAATCAAGAATAAAAAAGAACGAACCTATGTTCATATACATCGGAAAAGCATCTAGTTCGATCTAATGCAGATAAAATTTAAGTTACTCACCCTGGGCTGAAACGATCACGTGATCAATTTAGGGGTCGAAATAATCGGCGCGCGTAACGTATTTGAAACAGTCTCAATAATTGTGTGCACGCTAACGAGAGTTACACGAGTCTGTTATTAGAAATTTTATCTCAATCATTGTCATTGAAGCAATGTCCGTGATTATTAAAATCAATGACAACATCATACGGATCGGTTCAATTGATATGGAAATTAAGTATTTATCTTATATATATTAATCGAGAAACTTGTTTGAGCTATTTGACGATTTTTTCTCAGTGAAAATGATGAAGGCCATCATTTTTTGCATGTTCCCGATTTTTGTCATCATATATCTTTGCAATTAAGCCTTAAATTAAAACTCAACTAAAGTAAACTCTATTTAAAATTAATCGAAGAATATGGTTTCGTTAATATTTTATTTCTACAAAGCTTAGTTTATGAAAAACCGTTATTTTCAATTACTTATAAAACCGTTATTTTCAATTACTTATAATTCGAAAATTATTAATGCCTCGACATTTTCATTGAGGAAAAATCGTCTTCAGATGATCCCAGGAATCTGTCTTTGAAAGATGACGGAAGATAACTGGGACACCCTGTATATATATATATAAGAGTAGAGCAATGAAAATACAAAAAATTAATCAATTTATTCATTATATATGTATTCAAAACTAGTTTTTAATCTTTATACAAATATTAAAGTACTATATCATTTGGTATCACTTTTTATGAACAAAGACAATTTATTTTTTTATTTTTTTCAATATTTACCTGAAAATATTTAGAAAAAGTTAATTAAAACTATGTTCATTTTAATGCTTACGAAATAATTCTAAGATATATATTCTGATATATGTATATATCCATATAGAATATACACAATATATATATAAAACAATTGCATTAAACATAATGAGTAAAATGAATAAAAATATGCATATAAAAATATGCTCTATTTTGTGCTGATAATTAGTTCTCTAGACCATCTAGACTTTCTTAGAGAATCAGGCATAAACCGCAAAAATTGAATTTAATCACAAATGAATATAAGTATAGTTTGAATGTTTGAAAATTTTACCTGTTCCCTAACTCGTATTTGTCCAGTAAACCAAGTCAACAACATCATCTTCAGTACAAGCACACACGACCACCAAGCGTATATAGACCACCATAGCTCATAACTTTTCGTTTCATTTCCAGTAGCATTCGCTAACATTGTTTCTGTCTCAATCTTATTTGCTTAACGTTCTCTGAACGACCGTAGGAAAAACACGTTAACCGTTCATTCTTATCTGAACCGGTTCTTCATTAGCAAACCAAATGCATGAGGCAATGGGTAACCCGACGCGAAGCAAGCGAGCGGAAAAATTTAAACGTAAGCATTTTTACCAGATATCGAGATACGTATTTTGAATTAAAATATAAATCATATAAATCATTAAAAATATTTAAATTTTTAATCAGTTCAATTAATTACAACATTATGCTAATAAAAATGTATGGCTTATCTTCTCTTAATTGATAGAAAGTATTATCTAATAGAATCAGTGTTATCATTAGAAAAATATCAATACTCACTAATAATCGCGCATATTCATTAATAGTCTCAGTTATAAGTTAAAAATATAATACTGCAAATCTCTCTTATTGAAAAAATTAGTTTGTAATAACGATTCCAATCAATAATATTTTAAAAGTCTTTTATTAGAATATTACATACTAAAATAAATTTATAGCAATACATTTTGTTGAAGAAAAATGAAATTTGATTAAGAAATTTGAATAAGAATTTTATTCGTTTTTTATAAATTTATATCACATATTAAAGAGTAAAAAAATTGTCATATATATATATATGATAAAAATATAACATAAATGTAATATATAATCTTGAATTCCAATATTAATATTTTATTTCAGATATATATATGTAATAGCTCCTCAAAAAATAGAAATTAAAAAAATATAAAAAAAAGTTTTCAAAACTACATCTTCTAAATATATATATGATTATTACTGATTTTTCAGTGAAATTTCACATAAGACATAAGATGGAGAAATAAATTATAAATATTTTTATTGTAAATCAACGAAATATTCTTTTTAATATCACTACTTTAATAAGTGATATTTTCATCAGTTCAGTTTAAGAGAATTCAACAAAAGCATAAATAGCTTTGAAATCTCGCAAAGCTTGATCTTAAAAACAAAAGGATTTTGTTGGTTAATCGGATTAGTTGGATAAGATCTATCCTTTTAAACAAGCAGTTTCTTTCTTACAATTAAACCATCAAAAACAATGTATATAACTAGAATCACAATAATAAGGATACTTATAAAAGGAAAAGTTTTGAAAATTACACCAAATAAGAAATCATGATTTTTCACAATAAAGATTTTATCTCGTTAATTATGAGTATATTACAAGTTTATTTTATAACAGCTTATGTAGTAATATTTAATTCCATGGGAAAAATAATTCGTTAATTATAAATTCACATATTTTTCACGCCTTATTTAAATAAAATTCAAATAAAAAACGCGAAATTTTTATTTGCGAAGTCACTGCAGATTGCGTTGCATACACTGTATGCAATACAATACACATATTTATTAAGCATTCAATATCTAGCATTAATCTGTCATTAGTATTTTTACTTATATATTATATCAAATTTATTTAAACAATTATATTAATAATGTTTAAGCATTTTTTCTCTCTCTTTTTCTTCCTTTCTTTCTCTCCTTATAATTATATATAAATAATAAACAAATGAATTAGTGTCCTAAGTTTCTTATAAATTTCGTATAATTAATCGCTTGTAAATATTAATTTATTTCAACATATATTATTTTATCTGTAATATAATGTATGAGAAAGTGTTTAATGTGTGTAGAAACGATCGTTTTATTTTATAATTGCTTTTTTAAAACAAAAAATGATTTTGCTATCAATGTAATTTTACATATTGACTATAAACGCCATTGTGCGATATTACTTTTCTTTATGTTCGACATTCTTGATACCCAGATTAAATCGTTTCCGAGAAAAAAATCTGTAGCCACGATATTCGTTTCCTTCCACCACTCCTCTTGAAACTTGACCGTAAGATTTCGATTAACAGAATCAGCCATCTGCCGAAGTCCGCCAGATAGATTAAAGAAAATATCTAATGGGAATGGCGTCAGTTCTGCCATTACTGCCCACAATGGATTTTGACTATTCTTGCGTCTTTTTGATCCCAAAATTTCTTCGTCCAAGTATTCGAATAAACCCTCCACGGTTTGTTGATTGCCCCATACTTGCGTCAAGGGTGGCCATAGCCAGTCGTAGTCTAGATTAAAAATAATTATGTACAGATTTATTAATTAAATACTTGATTTGAGTTAATTAAACTTGTTGGCTGCATATTAACAGAAAAATCTTTTTAAATTCAATTAAAAATTATAAGCCATATTTGAGTAATTTTCAATTTGAAACGAGAAGAGAATTATTTTATTAAATTTTAAACAATTTTGTGAAGAATATAAATTCAATTCAACTAAACTAATGTAGCATAGAACAATACTGCAATTACTGAAAATTTTTGTTAAAAGGAGTCATTAAATATACTTACTATATATTTACTATATTTTATAAAATATCACATTTTTAATGTAATTGTACAAAAATTCTATAAAAATTTTTAATCTTATAATAAAATAATCTATATACATATAAATATTCGTGATATTAAAAAATTCAATGCTTAATATATTAAAACAATTATTTTAAAAAAATATTTATTTTTTTATATATCTTTATATGTTAGAGAAATGATAAAAAATGTTTTACCATTTACTATATGTTTATCGCCATAACAAATAATTAATCTCTTCCCGTCGGTCCAAATATCATTTAATGTTGGTCCTAGGCCTTCGACCCCTCTATCTGGTTTCAAAATTAATCCTTCGAATTCTTGATGTAAAATAGCTATCAATTTTCGATGTCTGTTTGATCTACCTTCGAAGCCCACGGGAAATCTATTTATTAATTTCTGCATTAATTATTATTATATATGCAGATTCCAAATATAAAATACATTTATTAATGAAATAATTTTATTAACATTTTCAACAAATGTAAGAAGATAAATTTAAAAATGTGAAAATTATAATTTGAACAAAAGTAACAATTCAGTTAACGTTATATATATTTAATAATTTTTGCTAATTTCTTGTAATATCATTTCTTTAACTATTTACTTTACAGGGAATAATGCGAATTTTATTTAGAATAAATGCACGTTTGCGTAAATTTAAAAACCATAATGCAATATTCTACAACTGAGATAATCTTATGCAATCGCGACTTACCTATGAAAATCCATAATAACAACTTCACCCCTCGCCGCATCTAAAAAGTTTCTCACGTCTTTTATGATTTCCGAAAGAGGTGTAATGCGAATGACGTCGTGATTGACCCAAAATCTATTTACATGATTGCCTTCTTCGTCGAGTGCGGTGCCGTTCGGAATCGATGGATAATATCCAACTCTGATATCCAAATATCTGATGCCGTGCACCAGTTGCGTCCAAACGTCGCGATCTTGCGTTAATAAGTATCGTTGAAAGGCATCCCGGCGAGTCAGATCTCCATGTTTGTAACAACCAGAATTATGTGTCCCAGGTATCATTAGGCTGCCGATAGGAAGCATGCCGATTTCTCTCCTTTGGTAATATAAGGAAACATTTTTCTCGATATTAATAGCAAATAATCACTAAAGAAACTTGTATATAATTATTATTCAAATTAATCAAATTAATATAATAATGCACAATTATATATATATGTATATATATATATATATATTTATATATATATATATATTATATTTATTATATATATATATATATATATATATATATATATATATATATATATATTCAAACATTTATTACATATATTAACTGTTATATAATTAATATTCATGTTTACTAAAGATTGATATTTGTAATCATTTTTTTCTTAATTATTCAATTTTTTACATTATTTTCTACACTTTATTTATTATTTAAATATCTTTTTATTAAAGATTTAAAAATGTAATTTTTTAATCTTTAAGTATATGTATATAACGGGTTATCGATGTTATCACTCTTAAGTTTCCAAAATAATTTATCTTCCCAAACAAATTAATAAATACTTATGTAAAAGAATTATTAACTCGTATAGAAGATAAGTTGTTCTGGAAACTTAACAGTGATAACGCCGATAACTCATTATATACTTAAAGTTAAAAAAATTACCTCGAATCATACATCCAAGTCGGCCAAATTTGCAAACAAGTCATGGAGAGCATGTGACCATCTTTATAAAGAATTGCATAATAATCAAGACAATGTGAGCCTGGAAGAGTTGCTCCATCTTTTGTATCCCAGCCTCCTGGTAACGGTGGCCGACCGACTGTAATATTTGTCCTGAAATATCCTCGCGGATTTTGCCATAAGGTAGTCAAGACCAATTCAGGCCTTATCATTTTATCTGGAACAAATAAATTGGATCTACAAATTTTTCTTTATCCAAAATTCGATAGATTTATCGTGAGAAAATATGATAAAACATTGATGCGTTCGATTTTATGACGATTCATTCTGTAAGATAAATCGGATTGAAAACGATTCAAAACTATCGGGGGATTCATTTCGAACGGATCAGTGTTTTCAAATTGAATGCGATAGGCGGAAGAGAGACTTAGCGAACAAGTTTTAAACGACGAGCTCAAAGCGCTTCAACGCGCATAAGCTGACGATTTGTATTAAGCAATCAGTGAAAGATGACGGCAAGATAAACTTATAAATCTCAAACTTTGTCAACAGTATTTTTCTAAAAGAAATGAATTAATGATTTATTTACAACAATTAGAAACTATTGCGTTCCGTGTATCATATGTTATTATGTTTTTATATTTTATAATAAATTGAGATAACAGTTACCGTATATTTTTGGATTTTTCAAATATATATATATATATATATTTAAAAAAAATATATATATATATTTATTTATTTTATAAAATATTTATATATATTAATTTTGATTTGATTCAATCGCCACCTTTTAGAAACGGAATATAATACGCAAAATACAAAATTTATTACTATGTGTTGCTAACGGGTCAGCAGTGAACGCCTTGATCTCGATATTTGAAAATTTTGTGCCTACTAGACAATCAAATTCCCAATTTATTTCTAATTCCGCGTCGACCACTTTGTCGGAAGCAGCAATTGGTCTCCACAAAGAGGAAACTGTGAGCCATACTTTTCCACATTGTCCTGCCAATGCTAAAAGCAAAATTAAAAATATAATTAGAGAGACACAACGCAATATCACTCATTTACAATAACTTGATGTTAAATAATATTTTTAAAAAAAGTACTAGATAAAAATATTCACATAGAGAATTTTGAACAAGAAAGCAAACATAGACACATAAATATTAACAACAGTTCATATATTTTCATATTTTCTTTATATTCTTTTCATATTTTCTTTTATAGCATTTAAACAAAAAATAGTACATTTATCTAAATTATAAAAAATATGACTGTAAAAATAATGTATTTTTTTCATATATTTGTAATATTATATAATTTTTCATTGATATGGATATTTTCCCTCAATATATTAAAAATACTTGTTTAAAATCATTTAATACATCATTTTATATTTATAAAAAAATACTACAAAAAGCTAAAAAAATTATGTCATAAATAGAATAATTAATTAAATAGCATAATTTAATAGTATAATTATTTTATTCTCACCAGTGTTACAGAAAACATGAAGAAGCAGCAGAATAATTTCTTTTTGCATAATGGATAAAATTTTGATCGAAATTATTTATCTATTACTTTTAATCTTCCAATATCAGTAATTGTGCGCTCGTGTTTTATTAATCAGACAGTTTTTTATTTGTTCGAGCATAACGATTGATACGAGAGCTTTTAAAGTTTCCGAAATATGTTACTTACGCACCAATATATATGAATTTTCGTTCATATAAATCTTCGTTAAATAACTTCGGTAAATAATTTTTTACTCTTGGAAAATTATTTTCTGTGCAGAATACATCAGGAAAAAACGTTCAAAATATAGAAAATTTAAAAAAACATAGGAAAATATTTTTTTTATTTCTGTATTCCTTTTTCTATCTTCCGTTTTTTTTAAAACGTTGTGGTTAAGCAAGAATGGACTTGCCATCAAATTTATCCATCATTGATAATAGTGCCCCGTGTTCTGTATTGAAAATTCATTCCCAATCTCTCTGCGAGTGAAAAATTATCCGTGTGCGATGGAAAACGTGTGCAGTTTAAAAATACAATTCTCCTCTACCACCACGTTCAATAACGATAAACGCTCGGTTTTTTTCGATTCTTCCAATCACGTCTCACTTTTGCCATACAAGGATCTCTCGATCAGGCGAAACATTATCATCGCATTAAGAAAACCCGAACCGTGCGAAATGAAAATCGTGCGAAAAACTAATACAGATATTCGCAGGCGCGGTGGACAACCCAGTGACTGAACGATGGACAGTCGAACGAGCTGCCAGTAACCGGAGTAGTTTAATACAGAGCCCGTTTATGAGACATTCAAGCGTATTGCGCTTCCGTCACTTCCTCGGACACATCAATTGAAGGGACCAGGGTCCGCTGGTTTTCCTTCTCTCTTCCCTCACGTCCGCCTCTCCATCACATTGATTATCAGCTACGTGCATACAGCCCCGGTCTGATCTGTCGACATTAAATACCATTTCCTGCATACGCCCTCGTAAAATATATAGTTTCGAGGGAGAACCGCCGATGGATGCGAGCTCATCCGACCGATCGGTGGGGGACGAGGGTTGGGAGAGCGGATTCAATTTCTACATTGAATTATCGCCCTCGTGCATCGTGCGCAGGGGACACTGTGTGTCAGGAGGGAACGCGTCGTGAGAGCAAACAGGCTAATCGTTACGTACAGGTAGAGGCCGAACGTGTATAGAACGCGATTTATCGTTCGACATTTTAGGATATTTCATGGTGAAGTTACATTTAGGTCGATCGCGAGTATGTTATAAATCGCATATGTCTGTCGGTTTCGCATTGCAACATATATAATACATACAATATTTTGTAATGTAGTTTGTAGGACTTGTTATGAGTTTCGATTGAAATGTTTCGATAATAAAAGTTCTCCTTTATAAGGGAGCTTTCCATTACAGTTATAAAAATCATTAAAAATATATATCTTTATTTGAATTATGAAATATAATAGAGATATCAAATATATAATATATATGTGAATTTTATTAAAAGTTATTCATCTGTACACATAAGAAAAATGATTAATAAATAATACAAATAAATGAGATTAACCTCAACTCAATACAACAGATATACAATTTATTTACAGTGTCATGCTCCTCTCTCTCTTTCTCTCTAAAAAATTAATTTTAAATGTTACATATTATATAAATAAAAGTTAAATATATAGAAATCATATCAGTTATATATATATATATATATATATATATATATATATATCTTGATTATAATTTAAAAAGACAGAGAGAAAGAAAAGACAGAAAGAGAGAGAGAGAGAGAGAGAGAGAGAGAGAGAGAGAGAGAGAGAGAGAGAGAGAGAGAGAGAGAGAAAGAATAAATTAAATCGTAAAATATAATTTCGAATATCAATATCGATATTATTCATGTGTCAATCGAATTGGTTTTCAACTAATGAAAAATATTGACTGTATTTTTTGAACATTTTCAATTACATAATATTATTTTTCGATATTATTTTATGAATCGAATATCAAAAAAGCATCGACTCTAATCCATGTGTGCGTTTCATATCAAATTAATATTTTATTTTTATTTATATCTAAAATTTTAAATAAAACACTTTCGAGGAGGAAATTATTGTGGAAATAATCCTCCTAAAAAATTAAAATTTAACTACGATACTTTCCATTAATACTGCCAATATGTTTTATATATCACATATAATACGCACACGTTGAAAAATTATATGTCGCAGCAATTACGGACTATGCTACGTTAAATAAATAACGCATTACCCCTATTATTTACATAAAATATAGGTACAATATACTTTACGCGCATTAATTTACAATAACTGTTCTTATTATGATGATTATAGTAAATTGACGATTATAGTACATGAAGGACGTTAATACAATTTGATTCGTTGAGGTAGATAATTTAATCAGTCTATGAAGCTACTCGGTCGTTTAACCTTTTGTTGTTTGTTGGCAAATTTCCGTGCCAACATTACATGAGAAAATCAGTCCCTTTGAAAGATCATTCGTACAGTTTTTCGTGCGTGTAATTTAAACAATCTCAAATGATATGGAAATTAAATCTGTAACTGATCCAGTGGTGAACATAAAAATATATTGAGATACATTTAAAGAAAAGGCTCTTTTTAATAAAAAATGATGATAATGAACAATCTTAAAATGAAAAGTGTTGTATTCGAACAAATATAAGATTGAAAGTTCTGTTCTAAAATAGCATTCTTGTCTGATTTCAATGATAAACTGTACGCCGTGTAAATTAAATTGTAGAATATACGGTTACATGATTGATTAGTTTTGCTTATAACTATAATAAATTAAAATATTCGTTTAATCGTACAATTATAATAAAATATACACTTTCTACATATCAGAACTTTCGTCTTCTCTTGACGATAAGGCCAATCGAAATCTCTATTCTTTTGGCTTTATTGTTTGAGAACGAGTTCTGGAAACGTACTATCAAAGATTCTTCTCATTTTGGTTGTACGTATGATGTATCTCTAATTCAAATGTGCCGATATCATTTTTTAAATGCTGCCTATCACAAAAGAAATTATATATTTTATCTATTTCTAAACGCAAATTTAATATTCATCGGCGATCAAATGGCAGTTTTCATTTTAAATTTACATAAAATACGCAAAAATATCCAACATGAAAATATGCAAGCTCAAAAAAATATTATATTTTCTTGAGCTTCGTTTAAATATATCTTCGGCAGTTATACAACTGCAATACTGTTTATTAATACCATAAAATGGTATAATGCGAATATTGAATTTTAATTTATTCATTCTTAATTTGTCGTTATATCAAAAAGAGAATAAGACAAGTTATTTTATTTTTACATAGCTATACGTATAATTTTTCGCAGATGTTTACTGCTTTTAATTCCGAAACTATTAACAGTGATATATTCTCTCGAATTTAAGTACTGTAACATTGTTGCTCTCCGACGAGACCATTGACACAAATCGCGTTCCACGTTATGAAACATATGATATACATATTTGTACATATTTTGGATTGTATGTATATATCTATCTAACTTTTCGGAGATACGCCAATGAAGATCTTCGTAAAGCAAGCAGGAGCATCCTGCATAATCGTTACAACAGAATGCTCTTGCTAGTTTGCGCGTTGTGTTAGAAGATTCACCAACTTCTCTTGGTCCATACTAATCAACGTATGTATGTCAATACCGAGAGCGTTCGCGACGCTTTTCATGTCCAGACCGAAGCTCTTGAGCAATTCGATAAGATCCATTTCCTCGCCCGTAAAGGGATTATGCAACTTGGGACAGCTGTGGTTACATTGCGGCCAAGTACAGCGTTCGATCATACGGAAATGGCAGTCCTTGAAGCACTTCCGTTCGTTCGACGGTATTACCGATCGCTGCGGTCTGGTGCCGTTAAATATGACCGTATGATTGTTGCCGTTAATTTGTTTGCGACGACCTGCGAGAAGATTTTGCATGAAAAAAAATGTTCGTTAATGCAAAAATGCCGCGTAAAGAATTAATTTTTGGTGAATTAATAATAATTTCGAGATTTTAATTTCACCGCGAATGAAATGCAAATGAGCTTTAGATCAACTGTTTTTATAAAATTGCATGAACCAGTTAATTAAATAACTATTCACAAAGAATGTCGACTTGTTGTTGAACGAGATTCAAAACATGTTTGCGCTCTGCTAAACCTAGTACCAGCACCTTTTCTTCGCTCGTTCTTTTCTTTCTTCTTTAACCTTTCCTCTTTAGCCCCCTTTTTCTCCTTTCTCTCTCTTCTGGCTTTGTGTTTCCTTCTACGTCTCTTCTTATTCTCCCGTTCTTGAATCAAGCCGGATACCGGTCTTCTCCTCAGTGTTTTATCAGTGGCAGACAATCGAGCTTTTTGCCTGGAAGATCCAGCTTTGCTTTTTCCACCTTCGATCGAAGTGCCATTTCCCTTTCTGATACCAGAACGCAATAGCTTCTTCAGCGACTTCCCGCACGGTTGATTGGTTTCGATTTGCGAGTGAGTGCTATAGCAAAACAAAAAACATTATACCTTCGAGGTATCATCAATCGTTATTGATTTATTTGTCGATCTCGAGAGAAGTAGCGATGCAAATATTTTTTCGACCACGCAATATCGATTTTCTTTGTTTTCCTTCGATGATGTAATCATTTCACAGCGGGATTACTTACTTGTTGTACATATTGTTCTTGCGATGATTCTTGTTTCCGATCGGCATGTGATCCCAACAGAATAATGCCTGTGCAAAGGAAACTTCGTCTACCTTAATCATCTTCCAATCTCTCTTCGTCAGAACGCTATGACTGATACAACTCGGGGCAAAGACCGCTGTAACATTTTCTAACGTATGCCGCAAACTGTCGCCCATCTTGTGTATATAATCCCATTCCTCTCTTGTCAATGGTGCAGCTACATTGTAGGCCCTCATCTGTGCCTCATCGAATATCCATTGAAAGACAAACAATGGTGCTAGAATGTTAAGCAAAAAAGTTTGAAACTTTCTCTCGAGACATTTTATAATTTCCATTTTATATAGTTTCAGTTACCAAATTCTTCATAATACGCAAAATAAACTCACCGGACAAAGTAGGATAGAGTCGATATCCAAAGAAACATCTCCATGGTTCCTTAGGGTATTTAAGCACGCAATTGTGAGGCATCCGAGACTTCCATAATTCCATCCCACTTTGTATCGCATCGACAGGTGACAAGCCTTTTGGAGGGTAGGGCACTTTATCGAGGAACCATCCAGAATCTGATACACCGCGTATAGCAACGTGCCTCAAGCCTATGCGATATATGATAGATAAATCTTACCACTTATATCGATAATCACAAATAATTGAAATATTTCAGGTAAATTAACGAACTCGTATACAGAAATATTTGAAAATATTTCTTCTTTTAATCTTGAAAATATTTGAGATCTGAAGTCTGATGTCTTATAGGCTACTTTTATTTCACAACATTAATTTTAAAAATTTTTAAGGTAAATTAATAAACTCATATAGAGAAATATTTGAAAATATTTCTTCTTTTGAAAATATTTGAGACCTGAAGTCTGATATCTTATTGGCTACTTTTATTTGACAACACATTAATTTTAAATTATAGAGAATATTGAAAAGATTATATATTTATTCAGTGATTTATAGATATTAAAAATACACAGATTGACGTACAAAAAAATTAATTCTACCTTAATGTCCGTATCAAATAATATATAAAAGAGATCACTCATAAAATATGATTTGTTTTAACGATAATATTGACAATAAATATTCACGACTCGTAATGATTCTCATTACTGATGCCGACTCGCTCGACAATTAATTTGTTGAACAATAAATATTTATTACCGAGAAAATTACGATCATTATCAATAATGACGTCGAGATCCGTGTAATTAGGAAAATTAATTGATAAATAGATCGAGATGCGTCATACCCAATTCGTGATGCACTAGATTTTGCACGTGATCCAGATTCAGCATGACACCAGTACCGCCTGCGCTGCTGCCGGCCAAAAGAAAAGCGCTCGCGTTTTCGAGGCCAAGGGGAACCAAGTCCCGGACGACTTGGACCACGATCTCTGCCCCCATGAACGAAAACATGTCGTCTGGTGTTCTGAATGCCCTGGTGCCGCTCCAGCTGTCGCTCGTGCAGTAAGGAACGAAACTGTGGAAACAGCAACGACGGCATCGTTAAAATCGGAAAAATCTTGTGGCGGAGCAACACGAGGTCGATTATGCGATGGACAATACCTACACGTGATTCGCACCCCAAAAGAATGGATTCTCGTCGGGATTCGGCGAGAGTATTCCACCCACTGAAAGAAATTGTAATTCTGTAATTGTACATTTTATTTTGGCAGTCAGTGGCAATATATGCGTATAAATTCAGAATCATCCCTTTATAAATATTGGAGACATTGAAAAAAACACTGTTGTTATTAAATATTAAAATTTACAGTGCCAAGTTAAATCTTCAGATTATGAATAAAAAGATCTTATTTTTCGATTAATATTAATTCAATCTGTTCTAACAGAGATTTATTTTAAGACTCAATTGCCGAGAGATATTTAATATTAACTGAAAGTAGATTATTAAATTATAAAATCAATGAACGAGTGTTTGATAATAATTAGATCTTGTACATCTACATAAATTCTTACGTTAATAATACGTCGATAATAATTAGAATAAATACATGTGATATATATGAGTCTTATAGAAAATGGACGTTATCATTGCAATAAATTTCTATCTATAACACAACAACATATTCTTATATATTGCATTGCACAACATATATTATTGAAATAAACCGTACGAGGTAATGCGTCCGTTCAAGAACGCGCATTCATCATGGAGGATCACATAAATTAGTTTACGATGCAGTGCGAGCTTCGATGCTCGGATGCACGAGCGGAAAATCATTTCCGTTCCGCGCGACGTATAATTATAAGCGATCGAGCGATCACCCACCATCGCGTATCTCGGGCCACTGCGTTGATGTCATCAAATGCCGTACTCGCATCCATCTGGCTCTACAGCTCTTTTCATCGTAGCAATACCAGCCGCCCTCCAGGTACATGATCCAACGCCTGGAGCCGTGGGACTTTCGTAGGTAGAAACCGGCCTGCGATCCGTCATTGCAAGTAATCGACTTGTTGCTTAGGTACACCCTCTTCAGGCCCCTCTGATCATCTAGTCCATACTTCCCCAGGATGCTTATCAGCTTCTGTATCGTGTTGCTCGGGTACTCCGTCGGCGAACTCGAGGAAATCGAGACCGTATTCGTGAACTTGTCCTCGGCAGCTATCGTTAGGATCAAAGCCACTAGGCACGGTATAATCTAAAACATGTACGAGAAATCTTGATGTAACGTATCGAAATTTATCTGCCTTCTCTATTTTATTAGAAGTCTTTAATTGATCAAACTTCCTACGTGCGAAATCAATTTTGTTGGACGGAGACTTCTTTGAAAATAATATCAGAGAAGAAATACACACAAATAAAATTATTATTTTTATCCAGTATCTAGCGTAATATTAAAATAATTTTCGTATTAAATATGAAGAATGATTTATTATCATATGAGATTTTTAATATTTTTCACATACAAATATTAATTTATATTTAAAATTATAATTTATATTTAAAATCGAAAGCAGCACTCACAGAATTATTATATTTCTACTGCCAATTCAAATTCGTAGACATGTTGGCAAGGAAATTATTAATATTATATCATTTATTAATATTAGAGAAGAAATACACATAAATAAAATTATTATTTTTATCCAATATCTAGCGTAATATTAAAATAATTTTCGTGTTAAATATGAAGAATAATTTATTATCATATGAGATTTTTAATATTTTTCACATACAAATATTAATTTATATTTAAAATTATAATTTATATTTAAAATCGAAGAAGCACTCACAGAACTATTATATTTTTACTGCCAATTCAAATTCGTAGACATGTTGGCAAGAAAATTATTAATATTATATCATATATTAATATCAGAGAAGAAATATATACACACAAATAAAATTATTATTTTTATCCAATATCTAGCGTAATATTAAAATAATTTTCGTGTTAAATATGAAAAATAATTTATTATCATATGAGATTTTTAATATTTTTCACATACAAATATTAATTTATATTTAAAATTATAATTTATATTTAAAATCGAAAGCAGCACTCACAGAACTATTATATTTTTACTGCCAATTCAAATTCGTAGATATGTTGGCAAGGAAATTATTAATATTATATCATATATTAATATCAGAGAAGAAATATATACACACAAATAAAATTATTATTTTTATCCAATATCTAGCGACATGTTGACAAGGAAATTATTAATATTTTTTATATTGATATCTTTCAAAATATTAATTTTCACATATCCTATAATATTGTTGATTAGTAAAATTTTAATGAAAGTTAAAATTTTAAGTCTCGGGGCTAATCATTAAACTACAAACTGCTTCAATTATTTTGTTTGCATAGAAAATATAATTTTATTAGTCAAATTGCCACAAAAAAAAACACGTAATAATTGCATATTGGATTTCATTCGCAAATATCTTATCGAATATTATTCAAATAATTAATATTCATCAATATGTTCTCCTCGATTGTTGTAAATGAATTTGTTTTTTTCTTTCGGCGAGTTTTATACGAACATCGTCGATATCGGGCTGATACATCGAGCTGCTACATAACAAACGAGCAACCGCGGGAATAATTTAAAAAACGATGATAAAGACAACGCTGAGCTACACGGCGCCACTCTCCCTCTCTATCCCGCGTCCGGCTACCATCTCTGTCGGTGTTCTTGACGTGTTTTACCGCAACAACGTTCCTCCATCGTCCCTCGGCCTCCTGTCTTTCTTTCACGAAAGCGACTACTTAAGATCAAGTTCCAGCTTCCAGAACGGTAGCCGGCGGCGGAAACACCTCGGAAACAGAAGCTCGGTCTCGATCTCGGACCAAGATGAAAGGCCGCCGCCAACATTGCGGATAGTAGGAAGGAGAAACGTTGTTGCGACGCAATTATGATCGGGCATAATGGGCCGCAAACAGCGAATTGGGTTCCGCTTCATACGAAGCAACGGAAGCAAAAAGGAAGGGAAGTTCACTACTCTTTCCTCTTTACCTTTGCATCGATGCCGCGAAAAGAATGTTCGCCGCGCGATGCTTTTCCGATCATCGGTCTATTTTCTCGCGGTTAGTAGGAAAAGCGAATCTAATTCTAAGTTGGAATTTTACCAATATGATACATTATAATCCTTGAAATTGACTGTTCTTTCATCTCATTTTTTCCTCGATAAAAATTATGAAACTTAATTATAGCCATATACATCCATAAAATCGAAAAAAAAAAACTAAATGAAATTTCTCTCAATTATAAAGTCTTTGATTAATTTAATATAGATTTTTAAACGATATTTTTTAGATTGTGGATTTTTTAGATCGATTGACAACTTAAGAGTTTTTAAGGAAATTAAGCTTGAAAAATACGTAAATAAAGATAATATAAATAATGGAGTACTTTTTATAATTTAAGATTTTTAAGGATTTTTTAATAAAAATATTTCAATTTTTAATTTAGTTAAAATATTAAGTAATGTCATCTATAATTGTCTAGATTACAAAAATTTATATTATCAAAAATCTTTATAAATCTATACCAACTAGATTTCACAACACAGGTTTTTTTTTGTTCCCTCAAAAGATAATACTGTCAGATGTAATTACTTCTTTTAATCTTTAACACACACATACATATCTTTGCACATATACAACAATCATTTTCTAATAATGTTTTTTATAATGAAAAAAATTCTTAGAAACATAAATGTTGAAAAATTAAATGTCTAATTTGTAATTATTTTTATTATGCAATTTAATTATTTTCATTTTTTTTTTATATTTATAAAACCATTTTTTTGATAAAATTTAAAGTTTATTTTTGTAGAAGAAAATCTCTTCTTACATAATTTCTATGTAAGACAACAAAAGAAATTCTCCGAATTGTAGCCTTATTTTTTCACCAACCCATATACAAAATTTTTAAATTGTTCAATTGTTCAAAATATCAGCATGATATAATATTTCTAATTTCTTACGAAATTAAAGATAACCGAGGAAAATACGTTTTACGATTTATCGATGTTAAATATCGGAGGTATCTTTCCTCTGTTATTGTTATGACCAAAAATAGCATGATTTCTTCCCGTCATTTTTATATATATTTACATAGTATGAATTATCCGGAAAACGTTGCGATAGACTCGAAGCGATTTCAAAAATCCGCGTTGAATCGGAACTTTCAGGAAGGTTGTAAATAAAGTAGACTCTCGGACGGGTGAGCTTCCATTTTGCGTTTAACCGCTTTATTATACCGTAAATCAGTTCGCTGGAGTGTCGAGCTGAGTTCCCGAAGGGTAGTTCTACGCTCCAAGCGAGGATATTCAAGAACTATCGAGAAAAGAGGGTTGAAAAGCCGTCTTGAATCCGAGGATATGGTTCAGTAATATTACCTTACCGCAAATGTTTCCATTTTTTTCGACATCTGTTACATTTACTGTTTTTTTTATAATTTTAAAGTCGTATGATTTGTTTTTTATAATAAATTTGTAATTGTAAATTTAATATCTAATGATAATTTTTTTTGTCAATAAATTGATCACACATTTCAATCCCAATAATAACTGAATGATTATTTTTTTAAGTTATAAGTCTCATAATTTCATATAAATAGCCAGGAAACAAAATATGAATTAAAATTTAGATAACACGTCGCTATAAATTTAACACTAATTGTTATTACAAATAAAAAAAATTGTCACATTCTTAATATGCCAATTTTAAAAATTTCGCTCTTGAATTCAATTACGCGAAAAATGACAGATCGATTTTTCACAACAAAGTTTGCATTAACTTTATCACTCGCGTTCAATCATTTAATACATCATATCTTTTTTCCGGGACACAATAGCTCCCATTAAAATTACATACCCTATGAACTACTTTTGCATAATTTAGGGCTTCCTTTTAAGGAACACATGCTATAAGATATGTTAAGGACCCTCGCAATCCTCTCTCTTTCTCTCCTTCTGTTTCTCTCTCTTTCTTTTTGCCGGCTCTGTAGCTGGCGCATTAGAGGGTGTCCTGGGCGTGAAGGTGTCCGTCATAATTTGCCACCCGGCGCATAATCCCCGTGACAAAGGCCGACAAAGTGATGGCTGTTACTTGGACCGGCGGCACACCATATACTAGCTGCAGGGAATCTGGTAGCAGGTAAAACGTTTAAAGATACCGTGCGCCGCAGTCAAAGAGATGAATCACGCCGTAGATAAATGACCACGATCTGAAGCGCTTTTTACGGCGAGGCGAGACAAGGTGCGACGCACTCGTGGCATTTGTGCAAGAGTTCCGGGTATTTGCGCATCGATCGATATTTTGTTATCGCGAGTACACGCGATAGCAAGAGAAAGAGAGAGAGAGAGAGAGAGAAAGAGAGAAGAAGGGAGGAAAGAATAGATGGAGGAAGGGAGAGGGAGAGAGAGAGAGAAGTTTAGCTGCAATTTTGGACGTCATTTTCCTTAACAAAGATATCTTCTTAACGATTTTTCTCGGAAGATTTCTTATAAGAGACAATTTAATTAGAATTTATTAAAGACAATTTTATTATCCAATTTGTCAATTTTAATATATAAGTTTCAAATTTTCTCAATTATCGACTTTAAACAATCGATATTTTTTTGAAGAAATATGGAATTTTTATCGATAAGAATTTTATATTTTCTCGATTGTGTATGTCGATTTGAAACAATTAAATTTTTTTTGGAGAAATATAGAATTTTTAAAATTCTATGTAATCAATAGAGTTCTTATCAATAAGAATACATACAATATTAAATTTTCGATTGTTTTCTCATTATAGATTATTTAATATATTATTATATAATTTACACATTAAAAGATAATAATTGTGAAAAATTTATACATTTAAACGATTTTAATCCTTCTATATTTAATAATTTTTAAACGATTTTAATCCTTCTATATTTAATAATTTTTCCTATTATCGAGTGAATTTTACATGGTAATATTTTTATTTACATTTTTTATCATATACATCCATTACGATTTCATAAACTGAAACAGTCATACAGTAAAATTTAATCATTAACGAATAATTAGAAACATTTTCCATTGGGATCATTTCCGATCTCGGTTTTCACATTATTAATAAAATTCAGCTTCACTGCCCGATATTGATACCATTTTACTCGTTATATATTTTTATTTTATCCCAAATG